TATGTTATGGGAAAACAGCATCAGTGAAATGATATTTAAACCCACAACTAGTCTTAAAAACAACAAATCAAAAAATACAAATAAAATGAATATCAATTATTTGCACTTTTGTTTAATCGAAATTAAGTCAGCAGCTCCATCAGGCCCCCAGGGCTTCAGGGGCCCCATAAATGTTAATATTTTAACACAGACCACAGATGCATCAATGAAACAGTTGTTTATTGAGATGATCAATGCTGCTAAATTTGATTCAATTTCAGCATACATAAAAGATTTTTAATTGTTTAACATTTAAATGCAAAATTTTAAGGAGCTGGCAAGTTTACTTTGTAAAACTTCAAAGAACAATATTCATAGTTGGATTGTTTTATTACCATGGGAACAATCTGATGCTTTGAGTTTAATCTTTGAATTTGTGCTCTGTTTGTTCACAAATGCAAATTAGTAAACTGCAATTATAATTTATTGGTTTTTAGGTTGGACAATTAAACTACTCCCCTTCTCCCAGATTTCACTAAATCTAACCCAGAAGCTGTTAGAGGTGCTGATGTTTTTAGCAGCAAGAGGGGCCCATAAGTCAGATTCTGCTCAAGGCCTCAAACAGCCTTGGATCGGCCCTGCATGATGAGGTAATCTGCTGCACTGCACATAGATCCACAACAAACTGGAGATTTAATTCAGTGTTGCTAAAGTGGCTTTAGTAGCTGTTCCATTTCGTGTCTGTTGAGTTTGTAACAAGGGGACACAGAAAGTGTTTTGGTTGGACAAGTTTATGGGACGAGTTTCTCAGATCTCTGGGCGGCCGCGCACATTAACTCTGTCTTACTAAGTGGTCGAAGTATTTGATATGGTTTGATGAATCATGTAGCCGGAAAAATAACAATAAAAATAATAATAAAATAATATAAAATTGTTCTAACAATGGTAGGGGGGGACCTAAAAATAATTCTTATTTTTTTCTGAGATAAATGGCAGATTTAGTTTGTTCTTTGTTTCTTTTGCCTTTTCATATTGATATTATTAAAATGCAAATGTTTCTTCAATGATTTTTTTTGGGGGGACAATTCTAGGCTTTTCCAAGATTGGGGGGGGTCCGGGCCCCCCTGAACCCCCTGGGATTTACGCCTATGCTCAAAGGAGTAATTCAGCTAAAACTGTACTAAAAATATGAACATTTTGTAGTTGAATTAAAAGAAAACCTTAGTCTGTAAATATTTTTTAGCTGCATTTACGTCCTTTCCTACAATTGATCAGGCGCTCACTAAATGAATTCTGTTATTGCATTTTAGGCAGTAAATTGTTAAAAAAGGATTAATTATTTGTTTATTTGTAAATTTTAGTGTATTTTTAATTAGGCCTGTCACAAAAAGCGATAAATCAGTGAACTGCATGATAAGTTAAAACAGTGTCAATAATTTTCATTTGCATGATTCATTGTTTTCCTGTTTTTCTCTCTCCCATCAAAAACTGGATGATAAATTCTTCAGTTTGGCGTTTTACTCCCAACTAAACATTTTTTAGTTAATTTTATTTATTTTGTTTTGTTTATTTTGTATATTAAAATATCTCCAGTTCCAGTATTAAATGTTCACTAGAATTTGAAGTTTATTTGTCTCTGACAATGTGTTCTTGCACTGTTATACCTTTATTACCATTATGTTACTTGAAAATGGTCTCAAACCAACAATATTATTGTTTATTGAAATAACTTCTAGGACATTTTATCATCAAGCAAAATTTGTTACCATGACAGACTGATTGGTAATATTGTATAAAAAATTAAAATGCAACATCTGCATTATTTGAGTAATGGATTTACCAAGATAAGTTGCATCAGAGCCTCTCGTCGTCTGTGTGTGAACTGGACTCGGTTGTAGCTCAGCTGTGTGTTTTTGTGGCGCTCCACCCAGTGATTAGCAGCAGCCAGCTGGTTGAGGCTCGTTTCGTGGTTTTCCTCTGTTTGGACATGCAGGAAGTTTATTTCTAGCTGGTTACTGTAATCCCTCAGAACCAAACGTGTCGTCTGGGCGGTAAAACTCCGGGTCACCATGGAAACGGCACTGATGTTGTAGCCAGCAGTTAACTCTGGTGTTTGGTAACCAAGACGTTTTAATTTGGGGTTTCAAATCCACTTTTACTGCAAGTGTGCAGACGGTTTTGTGTTGCACATCAAACCCAGCTGGAGGAACAGTCTAAAGGGAGAAGAGACGACTCGACACAAGCTTGTTGGCTCCAACACGCCCTGCTGAGTCATGACTCTCACTCACCCAGCTGCTCGTGATCTCCCAACTGGGTTAAGATCCTATTTAGTCAGCTGTTGAGCAGGTCAGCAAAAAAAAGATTTAACATGAACATGAGCGTCGTTTTGCAGATTTGATCATAGTTTACTAAATGAAGCGTCTTTTTGGTGATTTATCTCATGTTTAAGCTATAATAACCATCAGTGACTGCAACACTTTTACTCTTTCTGGTGGTGGTTGACGTAAATTAAATATTACTCTTTTAAGACACAGGATTTACAGTAGCATTTACAATGTTTCTGCTTATTCCAGTCATTCAAATGTTTTAGTACAGCAACAGCAACAAGGACATTCTTTGAAAACTGTTGTTGTGTTTAGCCAAATCTAGCGAATGGATGCGCCCAAATCTGTTTTGTGAGGACAAAGTAGCTGGATGTTTGTGGCCCAGATTACTGTGATATTAAAAGAAGGCAAAAAAAAAAACAACTGTTGTGCTCACTTTTTTTTGAAAGTGTCTTGTCCGCAGCTGTAGCTTTCAGAATTATTGTCTGAACGTCAAGAAGTCCAACAGATTTACTTTCATATGTGGAGCATTACAGCTTTCGCTTTAACGCTCCACTGGAGAAGGAGGGGTAGAAGGATATAGAGAAGATAAGAAAACACTGTAAAAGTCTGCTTCTACACCTGCAGAAAGACAAAAAGGGACTTGAGATACTGCTGTGACAAACATGCATATAAACCCACAACGTCACTGAAAATTACAGAGTACTATTAATACAAGTCGTATTTTATGCAGCCAGATATAAGGTATCTCATAACTTCCTTCACAGTCTCAAGTCTTTCTCAGCCTCCAACGTGTTTCTGTTCTGCTGTAAAATCACAGTGAAAAGCCAACAGAACGCAAAACTCTTGATGAGCGCGTTTCAGATCTCCTAGTAAACATCGGACTAAATCTCAGACATTTTAGTCAACTTTCATCCATCAAACATTATTTCTTGATTGGGATCTTGTCGGTTTCAGGATGTTTTTGCTGGTGAACTTTTGTTTTTTGTTTTTTAAAAAGTTCAAAACTCAAAAATTCTGTTGGGTTTCTGTGAAAGTGCATGAGGTCGTCCCGCTGGTGGCTCCCGTGTTTGTTTGTGTCCAAAGAAAGCCCCGCTGTGGCGTCAGACCTGCTCTCTATTGTACGAGCCGGACATTTCCTGGTCAACAGGAGGAAGGGTGAGGGGCTTGTAGCTGCACACAGGTGTGTGTGTTGGTGTGTGTGCCTGCATGTGTGTGTTGTTTCAGAAAAGGAAAGACCACAGGAAGAACCATGCTCCCTAAAAATAAAGGCTTTTCCACTCACTGTGGTCACTTTTGGGCTTTTCCATCATCGTACTCAACTGGGATCACTTTATCCAATATAAAAACATTTTATTTAAACCTATAAATCAGATTTTATGTTATTCTGTGGCTCCAAAAAATCTTTTCCAGTCAAAATATTGGAAGATACAGAGAAAGAAACCAACATTTACTAGAGAATAAACAGCAATGATAGTAGAAAACTAAGTATTTTTGGGTTTCTTGATGGTAAAAATTTACAGTTTTTAGCAATTAAAGACATATTAGGTCCCATAAAGTAATAGCTTCATTGTTTCATATCTATTTCTAGTCATCTTAAACTAACATTTGGATATTGGCTTTGAGTGCTTCAAGTAAATCAATAATTTAGAAGCTAATTTTAAAAGATACTAGTGAACCATCTGGCTTTTCAGGTTGTGTCTGTTTTATCAGGGATAAAAGTTCAAAGATGTAAATCTGAGGGATAGAAAAAGGTCAAAACGCCAAGAACATTACCTTATTTTGGTGTTCAGTAGCACAAATATCTTGATTTTTAAGATGATACAAATACAGATAAACCTCAAATTTTAAATCCAAAAGAGAAAAACTACATATTTCCATTAAAATTGAAATATTTAGTTTCTAACCCTAACCCTCCATCACAGTTAAGATTGCTGCTAAAAGGGGGTTTCAAGCTCCTAGTGGGCCTAAAAGACAAAAACCTAAATAATATCCATGGAACCCTTTCAGAATAAGAGCTTGAGAAATAAAGAGCTGTGTGTTTATGTTTTTTATTTAGCAGTGGAGCAGCTGCTGTCGGGTTCTGTAAAATCAAACCACCTCTCTCAGCAGTGGTTGCAGTATAAGTACACATACTGCCCCCTAGTGGACATTTCATTTTGTCCTGAACAAAGTGAAGATGTAGAATAATGAACATGGTTGGTTAGTTTTGTGTATTTACAGTAGATTGATGAGAAACAAACCAACATGAACTCATTAAATGTTTTTTGAAATATGCATTTTCTTTTATTACCGTATTGTTTTCCTAAGTTTTTAATGTTTATATTCCCGAATTTGTTCATTGTTCACTTTCTGTTAATTGTTGGGATTTCTCTGCAGTTTGACTTGAACTGCTTGAGCTGGGACCTAATTTGTGTTAACTCCTGTTTATTATTTCATGCTTTCTTTATTTTTTCCCTTTTTCTTTTCTTTTCCTTTCTATTTCCCTCTTTTTCTTTTCCCTTTTGTCATTATTTTTTCTTTCTTTTCTTTTTTCTCTTGTTCCTTCTTAAACACACGTGATTGATGGACAGGTAGTTTTTAACTCAGTATTTATGTGAATGTTAGGGTAAACTAATGTATTCTTGTTAAAAATTAAATATGTTGTTAAAATCACATTTTTCTTTCTCTCGCGTTCTCTGTCTTCCTCCGTCGCAGGTCGGTGTACGACGGTCAGGAGCATGGCCTCTTCATGGAGAAGCTCGACGCCCGGATCAGGAACCACGACAGAGAGATTGAGAAGATGTGCAACCATCACTTCCAGGGTTTCGTCGACTCCATTACTGAGCTGCTCAAAGTTCGAGGAGAGGCCCAGAAGCTGAAGGTGAGAGGAAGAGGAGGAGGAAGCTCAGATGGACAGATCAGTTTGAACTTGTTTTTGTCTTCCAGAGTCAGGTGATTGAAACCAACGTACGACTTCAGGAAGATGGGAAAGTGGTGAGTGCGGTTCCTGATCGTCTGCTCGTCAGATCGGTTTCACCTCTTCAGTGAAAATCTCTGACGGTTTTCCTTCTTCTCAGCTCATCGGCTCCATGGAGGAGCTGAAACAGTGCCGAGTGCAGCAGAGGAACATCGCCACCACCGTAGACAAGCTGGCTCACTGCCTGCCAGGTAACGCAGAACACCATTGGATCATCGTTATCTCCCGGTACCGGTCCGGATGTCCGGTTCTAGAGTACATCCAGCTTTAGAAGCTTTAGTTGGGTTTGTAAAGAGCCGACACACACTCCCGTCTCCCAAACCATGCATGAAGCAGCTGAGTGAAGTTTCCCCAAACCTTCTCCAAATCAAACAAAACCATCAAAATTGGTGTCCAATATTTGTGCTGCTAAAATTTTTGTCTGTGCTGCAGAAATTTTTGTTTGTGCTGCTTTTGTTTTGCGGATATTAATGAAAGGTCAACAGTTAAACCGGCTCCTCGACACAACCCAAATCAAACAAAATTGATGTTGAACGTTTATGTTGCTACAGTTTTTGTTTGTGCTGCTTCTGTTTTGCAAATATTAATGAAAGTTAATCATCAACCAAATCAAACAAAATCTGTGTCAAACATTGGCGTCGGGTTGTGCAGTAAAGATTCTTGTTTGTGCTGCTATCATTTTAAAGATATTAATAAATGTTTCCAGAGGTCAGCAAAGGTCAACCAGCCAGTCCACATTTACAAACCAATCAGAAATCTATTTATATATAGACATATTTTTCTTTTTTTTATACTTTGGCTGGGCAGCTTTAGGTGATTCTTTCAGCTCGTTTTTAGACGACCTGCTGACTCTGTTCTGTTTCTTTTTGGTTTCATCAGTTCTGGAGATGTACAGCCGACTGCAGGAGCAGATGAGAGCCAAAAGGTACATGTGTGAGGATTTTTAAAATTTTGCTTTTGTTTCATATGGACACCAGTGCAAACTGAAATAGACTTGACAAGATTCAGAAGGGGATGCTGAATTGTCTTGTTGTCGCTTTAAAAAAATAGGAGGATTAAATCAATAAAAGATCAGGATGAAGGATAAAAATGATCAGAATAATAACTAAATAATAAAAAACGTACAGTGAAATAAGTATAATGAATAAAACACATTAGAAATGCAGTAAAATGTGACTGATAATCAAAACATCTTCACCGGCTTTTAATTTTGATTTATGACATCAGCTGACGTTTAGCATTACAAGGTTTATAATCAAATCACAATGTTGAGATTTAGCCCAGTTCAGATTATTTTAATTCTCGTTTCAGTCTTGTTAAAGTGGAAGGAAATATCAGTGTATTGTTTCATAATGATGCATATTTATACATTTGAATTCATGCTCACTTTTTCCAAATAATTTTAGTCTTGACTCATCATAATGCAAGTCAGAATATCTTAAAATGCAGAGCAGAAGAAATGTTTACAGATTTGATACCAGCAAAAATATGAAGCCATATAGATTCACCTTTATTTTATTTATGTATTTTTTAGTTTTTTAATGAAATGACCTGCAGAGATAGTCATGGGAATCTCTTGATGCACAAAAATCCCCCATAAATCAGTTTCAGTTGAACGTAGCAGTAAGTTAACGATTACTCATTATTTAATTGTCTTATTCTGATTATTCATCTGTTTTACTTTGGCATCTATTGTGTCAATTGCTTTTGCTGGATTTTATGTCTGATTTTTGTTTTCTTAGTTATTTTTGTCCAACCTTTTGTGCTGCTTTGTCATTGATGTTCCCACTTCCAGACACTAGGTGGAGCCAGTGAGCTTTAAAACAAACATCTGTAGCCTCTCTCTCCCCTCTTGACCTGTAAAACAGTCGTGTTGGTCATAAACTAGCCGTTTGTTTTGGGGTTTTTTCCTGCTGCTGTTCTAAGAGCGAGCAGGCTGAGTTAGTTTAGTCTTACCAGGAGGTTTCCGATAAAAGCTGCTGCTGTTTTCCCTCCTGTTGCTGCAGGTACTACCCTGCGTTACGGACTTTGGAGCAGCTAGAACACACATGTCTTCCCAGAGCAGGCCAGTACCGGTTCTGCTCCATCATGGCTGAGAACATCCCCAAGCTGAGGATGCACATCCGGGAGACGGCCATGACGCAGCTGCGAGACTTCCTGGAGAGCATCCGCAAACACTCGGACAAGATCGGAGAGACGGCCATCAAACAGGTAGCAGGAACGTAAACTCAGCCCTGCTTTAAATTTACAGCAGCAACACTTACAGTGTTTTCTATGTGATACGTTCAACTTTAAGATGCACCGATTTGAAAATTTGGGCCTGTCAGATATTTACCGATATTTTATTAATTTGCCCACCATTTCAAGCTTTTGGTAAAACAAGCCATTATGTTGCTTTTCTGCTTTAAACATCCCACAATGCTCTCCTTCATCACTGTCACATGATCAAACGAATACAAGGCATTTAAAGAAGAAGGCATTTGTTAATATTGGACCGATACCAATATTTTAAACCACTGGAGTCCAAATGAAGCTGGAAATTTGCCCAAAGTCATTCACTTGAAAAGAGTTAGTGACACAGTTGTCACCAGTTACTAAAACAAAATGAATTTTTTGGGCTTTCATCTTAACAACAGTAAGTTTGGAGACAACTGGTTTTCTGTTTCTTTAAAGTTTGCTTCTCAGATTTCCATCTCTATTATTATTATTATTTAACGTTATGTTGAACTGTCTGTGCTTGTGGAGCTCTGACTTCCTGAATGTGTTCCTGTTTGTTTCCTGGCCGGTTTCTGGTGCTAACTGGACTTTCCTGTCCTCTCCAGTACTGGTTCTGTTTCAGCCTCACTCTGTGTGTAAATCAGAATCAGTCTCCCGTCTCTGAGACCGTTTGTGTTTTCCGCTGCCAGTAAACAAACATGTCGGCGCTGCCAGAGTCTCCAAGGCGCGTTGACGATAACGCGCTTTAGCTTTTCACCACTTACCTCATTGTTTGAGTGTTTCTCAAGGCCAGGGAAGTCATATACGAGCGTCTGCTTGTTTGTTTTTGCCTCTGGTATCCAGAGCTCAAATTAGGGCTGATTGTTTATTTGTGTCTTATTCCATAGAACATGATGGGAATTTCAAGAAACAGAAGCTGTTCAGAGTTTTATACTTTCATTTTTAAGTGTTTAGAGAATAGAATAGAACAAAAAGGAATGGAATAAGCAGTTGTGATATTACTGAAAAACATATGATATAAACGTTTCATATCAGTCGATATTGATCATTACTGATTAGTTTTTTGTTTTAAATATTTGAAATTCTGTCAAACTGGTGACGTGACCTTTCCTGTTTTATCCAGTTTTCACTTCACTTTTTTAGTTTTGGTATCGATATTTTCTTTCCTAGAAAAAAAATCGATATTCATCTGCAAGTATCGTAACATCCAACTGTCACCTTGCTCACTCACTACTTGCTTTACCAGGAGAGTGATTAGGTCATCAGGCTTAGAGTGATTCCTTCAAATGTTAAGTGTCAAGGTTAAAAAAAGTATCAAACTATTCATAGCATGGTACTTGGTGCACTTTATTTACTTTACAAATGCATGTAAGCTACAGTTTGTACTGTTTCAATTCAAAGAAACATGTTTTCTCACCACTTCTTTGATTCATTTTGTCCAGCTGTCGACTTTAAGTCTGTGTCCATGTCCAACCAGAGCCAGGTATTGTGTAGGTGGTGCTTTTCATCAGTTTTCAGTTAAATTAATTCAATCCAACTCTATAACAGTCACAAAATGTCACCAAAATCACTCTGTCCCTCTAAAATCTTTCAGAAAATCACAAAAGTGTATTGAATTGTATCGTTTGCTGAATATCGCAATATATATCGTATCGTGAGCAGAATATTGTATCGTATCGTGAGATTATTGTATCACTACAGCCCTAATAGCAACAGTCGATCATAATCAATAAAAAATGTCCTGATTTTATCAAGTTAAATGAAATTCTGCACCACAAATTGGAAACAATATTCCTGTTATTGAAAGTTGAGGAATATGATAAAGTTTTGGTTTTAAAATCTTAAAGTCCATGAAAGATTTTTTTTTTTTAATCATTGATCTGGATCAAATTCCTGATTGATTCACTTCAAACATCATGTCTGAATTTAAGTGTTCATCTCTCACTTAAAGATTAAAATAATGATAGAAATAAGATTCTGCTGAGTTTCTTGGAGGTTAAAGGTCACCTCCTGGCTGTGTTTGCTGTTGATTTGGAGATTATTTTGGGAGGATGACATTGCAGCAGCAGTAGCCTGATCCACCCAGACTGTGGTGGTTTGATTCAAACGGCCTCTAGATGTCACTAAAGGTCCAGTTTTATCATGCATCTGTCTTCCTCTATAGTCATTCTTATAAGCCTGAGTTACAATTTAGCCCATGGGTGTCCAAAGTGCGGCCCGAGGGCCATTTGTTGCCCTTTTACTGATTTTGTACGGCCCCAACTGAAGTTCAAGAGTGACTTAAATTCAACCAGTCCAGCACAGGGGGCTGTGCTGGACCACCTGTGCTGAGAGTAAAATTTTACCCTCAATATCTTTATTGAGGGTAAAATTATTACAGACATCATTTTCATGCAATGGAAAAAGTTGAATATAGCTTTTTTATAACCAAGCTTTTACAATAAGTAGAAAAGCCAACGTTGCTGCACATGAATCAGCTTAATTCAGAATATAGAAAAATGAGAAATTAGATAAAATGTAAAGATTGTCTTAAATAGATGCAGAATATAAAAAATTAGAAATTATAATAAAATAAAAACTAATTATTAAGACTCTAAGATTAGAAATGGGAGGAATTGTTTAATTAATACTGCAGGGTTTCTCCCAGGCTTTACATGCCCCCCAACCAGGACTAATATAATTTGTTTATTTTAAATAATTTATTTTATACACCATATACAGTGATAGGAAAGAAGGCTAGGTTTATATATAATAAAAAATTATTAATCTTTAGAACTTTATTACACATACACAACCTACATACAGACTATTTGTTGTATTTTGTTTGTTTTATTTCCAAAATTTTCAGTCAGCTTTAATATTTTTTAACACAAACAACTGCTGTAGCATTGAGAATGATAAACAAACATAGATTTACGTCACACTGTGTCATGAAATAATCTTGGAAAGTTTTGGATGCACATTAACTACTTTTTCAAACTATGTATTTATTTCTATTGTCATCGGCAATTTTGGCAGGATCAGTCCTCTATATATTTTTGGGTTTATCCTCTTATGGATGAAAAGGTGTGTTTATTTTCCACCTGATGGTGATGATGATGCCTTCAGTACAGAATGTGCTGCGCTGGTTGCTAACCATCAACCCCAGGTTGACCTTTAGATGAGGGACCGCAGCTTGACAATCCACCTCAGCCACCGAGGAAGCTAACCGCTAATTATGAAGCAACAGAGCTGATGCTGATTCTGGGATTATCTCGTCACGTAATCAGTGCTGGGGACGTTCTCCCTCCTCCCCGTCTCGTTTGTTTCGCCCTTCTTCTCCAAACTCTTCCTCTCGTTCTCTCAGACAGCATGTCTCTGTGGTGTGCTCTGTTCCAAATTAGCCCCGACTCTCTGAATCCAGCCGTCGTTACGACTCCCTCAACCGAGGATGTGAAAATAAATGGATCTGGAGAGAAGGGGAAAAAGAGGAGAGTGAACGGGTTACAATGGGGCTATTGTCTGCTGCCACGGGGCCATGGAGAGAGGGAAGGAAGAAGTGGATGCTGAGGAAAAACGGTCTGGGAGCTAATGAGTGGGATGAGAAAGGAAAAAGTAAATGGGGAGCAGAAGGGGTGAATAAATGTGGAAAAAAAGAGGCTGAAATGTCAGGTAGCTGTTTTTGATGAGGAGTCAAACACCTGGAGGAGAGCAGAAATTACACCTTAAAGGTAAAACAAAGTTTATTTGTGTAGCAACAAGGCAGTTCAAAGTGCTTTACGTCATAAAAATACAATACAGAAACAAACAATAAACATTTTGCCAAATCAAGCAAAAATATGCATTAAATATGTTGATCAATGTTCCACTTACTATTAATCAGAGGCAACCAGTCAGGTGGGTTTTTAGTCTTCACTTAAAGGAACTCAGGGTTTCTGCTGTTTTCAGTTTTCTGGAAGTTTGTTCCAGATTTGTGGTGCATAGAAGCTGAGTGCTGCTTCTGTATGTTTGGTTGTGGTTCTGAGGATGCAAAGCAGAACCAGAACCAGAAGACCTGAGAGGTTCTGGAAGGGTGATACATTAGAGTCTACTTTAAAACTGGGGTGGTGTGCTCTATCTCCCTGGTTTTAGTCAGAGCGCCAGCAGCGTTCTGGATCTGCTGCAGCTGGAGCATTGATTTATATTTTTGCAGGCAGTTCTGTGAGGACGCTGTCGCAGTAATCGATTCGACTTGAAATAAACGAATGGATGAGTTTCTCTAGATCTTGCTGAGACATCAGTCCTCTAATCCTAGAAATGTTCCACAGGTGATAGAAGGCCGACTTTGTAACCGTCTTTATATAACTCTAAAGGTTCAGGTCAAATAAACCAAGAAAATGGAGCAAAGATGAAGGGAAAAGTAATACAAGTAGCATCTGAAGCAGTTTGATCCACATCTTTCCACTATATAGCCAGTGTATTTATGTCTATGTTTAAAAACAGAAATGTTTTAAATCACTGTTTTCTGTATTGGATTGATGTTGGCCGATGCTAAACGTCAGATATGGGAACTGGTATTGGAAGTGAAAAAAAGTGGATAATTGAATCCATCTTGTACAAAATGGATCAGAAGATCATTGTAGGTGCAAAATAAGACATGAAAAAAGGTCTTTCAAGATTGTCTTACCATCAGACAGGCCCACAGTTTCAACCTCTTTTGGTTGATTTGCTTTTGAGTAAAACCATAGCACTGAGTTCTGTCCAACATTGGATTTGAATCTGCTGGTAATTTTAGGTGTGATTAACAAATAAAATTTTCCTGAATCATCTTTCATCAAAGAACCGAAGGCGGGACTGAGAGGTGAGAGTAGGACGGGAATGAAATCATGACGAAATGCAGTAAAAGTGGAAAAATATTCAGAGGAAGTAGAGAAACCTGAAGCTTTTCCTCATCATTTAACATTTGTCTTTCATCTCATCACATTTCCACGAGTCTTAGAACCTGTTGTCTCTCCTCCACCTCCTCTCTGCCTCCTTTATTTTCCCATCTCCTCCCGTTTTTCCTGCTCTCCAGCGACAGACGGGTCCGGAGCTTTTGCTCCTTCGTCCTAACGGGAAACAGATTGCAGGGCCTGTGAAGTGGAGGAAGATGGATTACCTGTATCTAGTTACCGAACACACATGCGTGTGTGTGTGTGTGTGTGCGCGCGCGCGTACCGCGTCGGTGTATCGAACCATCACAAGGAAAGAGAAAATGTACCGTTGTGGGTTGCTGTGTCACTCTGCTCAGCAGTGGCATCACGCTGCATTATTTCTGACAATCGTTTCAGCTCCTCATCTGCTAAATAGTAGCAGCACCGGCTTTTGACCTCGACTATTACTGGCTAAGCTGCACAAACATTGCTAATTAGCCAATTAAACGAGGGCATAACAACAACATAAACGACATCAGCAACCATTTTTCATCCGTCTCAGATTTCTGTTTCCAACACATGGAGCTTCCTGACAGTTTGAGGAAGAAATTAAATCACCAAGATTTTCTTTACATATAAGAAAAGACAAAGTATCTGATTTGCAATGTTTTCAGATTGAGATTAATGTCTAATTCTTCCTGACGTCCCAGTCCGGATGTTTTCAGTCTTAATATAGAACTGAGTCATTCAGGATTTAAATTTCCAAGTCATTGAAATCACAGTTGCATCCACATTTCAAAACTTTTAAAAAATGTATATTTAATCAAGGACAGCACATTAAACATGTTGCATGTTAAAAATAAAGCAATTGGCTAATTTACAAACCCAGACCTTGGACATTTTTAAAGAGTGCGTGGATATAATTGGATCTTTTTCTATGCTTGTTATACCTAAAACGTTTAATCACAGCGAATCACTTACTGAAATAATCATCAATCGTATTAGTAATCGATTAACCGTGGAGAATGCAGCCTTACATTTTCTGACAGAGCAACACACTCAGAGCAGCGGTTGAGCCAAAACTGTTTGTAAAATATCTACATTTTCCAGTTAAGATAAAATGAACGTCTGTAAATATGCTCTACCCAGAAAACCTGCAGTGACATAGTTTTAGATTCACCTGGTTAAATTCTGTTAAAAAAATAAATAAAAATCTGTTGAGCCCATTTCTAGGTTATTGCATCTTAAGTAATAAAATTTTTGTATTAAATTCTACAGAGAAATCTGTATAATTTGCTGTTTTTTTTTATCTGATTAATCTTTAGAATGATCAATTTATTAAAAGTAATTGTTTGTTGCAGCCTTAAAGGAATGCTATGTTTTCACATTTTCTTCAATAAAATGTTTATTGTGTTATTTTGAGAAAGGAATTGAAGTTTTGTTTCATTTATATCTTTTACTTTATTTGTTTAAAAAAGGCTTAAATGAAAAATGATTAATTGTTTCATCAGAATATGTGATTACTAAAATAATTGTTTGCATCCCTGAGATGATGATCAGGCTCGGACTGACTTGTAATATTTCAGATTAAATATGACTGGGCTCAGTTTTACTACAAAAAAGAAACATGCAAAGATAGAAGAACTCTAAATCTAGGTGAGAGTTTTCTCGTTTTATTTTTAAGTCTGATCCTCTTCTATTGGTTTGCTTTTTTAAAACAGTCACAGGAAAATGCTCCCTTTTTTCCATGCAAGTGGAACGATCCCCCGCAGAACAATGATCCAGGTTTATGTGTCTGTCTTTTGTCATTATGGAAATAATGCCTTCTAAAAATATAAATAAAAACAGGAAACTGTGGTCAGGAATCAACGAGCGCTCGTATCCAAAACAACATTAAAAACACTAATAATACATTTTCAAATATTCAACCTATTAATTCGAGATTTTTCTCGTTCTTTTTTTTAAAATTATTTTTATCTTGAACCAGCATTAATCATATTCCCACGCTGAGCTTCCGACCTCCCCCATTGTGGCCAAAACAGTTTTTTTATTTTTGTTTCTGTGGGAAAACCCTTGGAGATGTGAGGGCATCTTTCCATCCACGCCCAGACGGGCTTCAGCTCCTTTTGAACATGGCTTCCTTTGCTCGCCGGCGCCGGCACGTAGGCTACGCTTCACTCTGCCGAAGGGGACGTCGACGAACACGCCAGGGACCTGGAGCGGCTCGGTTCGGGCCGCTAATGACAGCCATGATGAGAAAAACTGGTGTGCACGCAAGACCCGGAAGAACACGGCATGCTGGAAGAATAACAATGCCATCTTTGATCTGATGCCCACATGCGGGCGGTCGCACAATCACAAGGTAAATGAGTCATAAAAGACAATAAGTGCAAAGAAAATCAGTGGAAAGCGCTCCCAACAGGAGGGGGAACATCTCCAAGCGCCAAACAAGCTCAGGTTCTCCAAAAGCTTAAACTGGGGAATTAGAGGAAACAGTGCAACGTCGACTTGAATCGGGTTTTGTTTTCAAATGCAAATGAACATAATCAGACGTGAAAAGAGGCAGAGAGGGAGAACGTCTCTGAAGACGTCAGCATCGACGTCAAGAAGATCCACTCAGCACTTCGGCTCGCCTCTTGCATTCCTCGGCAGGTGTGTTTGGCACACAGTTGACGCACTCGCCGAGCGCCTGTTCAAACCGGCCGCACAAAGGCGGGCTGTTCTGCCGGGGGAACCTGCTTAGAGACGGCCTTTCTTCAGGGGAAGCCTTGTGATGTGGTGCTTGAAGCACAAGTGCAGGACTGTGCGTCACGAGAAACCTTTAGAAACCTTTTTGCGTCACCATTTACCTTTGAGGGTAAATGGGGAGAAAGAATAGAAGTGAAAAGTGGTCAAAAAAAGAAGAGAGGGTGCAAGAAGTGGTGAGATGTGCGCGTCTAGACACTCTCCAAATTCTCCAAGCAAGTATTAAAGGTAAAACCAGAAGGCAGATGGGAGAAATCTCCAACAAGCTGCCATTTTTGGATCAAATCTGTGAAATTACCATTAAAAACTACCAAAACTGCAGCAAATACTTCACTGGTGACTGGTTTACAGCCCACGTTATTAAATCTTTCCTTATCAGCCTTGCAAAGCTACTTCACACTTCTTACAATCACAAACTCCTATGAACCTCAAGCCGGACCATTGCAAGTACCAAGAACAGGACTAGAGGCCTCACAGTGGTAAACACAAAGACACGACACACTGTAGAAATCCTCTCTGTTATAGACATTAGATATTGACTTAAAAAAACTGCAAAATCATGAAGTTCCTACCTGAATAGGAACCTGCATGCGTCGTCGTGCTGCAAAGTAGTGAAATGATCATAATCAGGATTAAAAGATCAGTTTAGTTGACCAAAAGAACCAAAAACCAACCGATATACAACCAGTTTAACTTGGTTTTTAAACACCCACATTTTCATGACCAATATCACTTCTTGATTATTTCCTTGGGAAAATTAAGATTTCTTAATGTGCGACTAACAAAATGTAATGTTAATTGCTTGTTTCATAATTGATGACTGATTCTTTATTTTTATGATGTAAAGAGCTTTGAACTGCCTTGTTGCTCAAATATTCCATACAAATAAACTTGACCGTTCAACCCAACGAGGGAAGCGCTGAGGTGGTTTTAGGCCAAACATTGCAGAAATAAATACATTTGAATGCAACATTATAACCTGACTCTGGTTTTTCAGGGTCATACATGTGATCCGTTTCAGCTTTTAAGTCTAATTTTATTCACTGACTCATCATCCTTCCTGCTCTCTCCTTCCTGTCTGTTTTATCTCTGGTGTTTTCTCACGTTTGGAGCAACAAGGCCTCCAGCACAAAACACTTGGTCTCCATCTGCAAACCCGTTATTTTTATCCAAGACTCGTGGTTCTTTTCATGTACGACTGAATCCTCGTTTGTTTTGTCGCCGTATTTTATTTTTTGTGCAGTTTTGCTGAGCAGATGCGGTGCAGCTTCTGCGGAGACGGTGTGTCATTGTTGTCAGCTAACATCTGGTTTTGGTGTCAGACTCTGAGAATCAAAGAACCTCCATCGGTTCGCTCTGAAGTCGAGCCAAAGAGCCTCCCGCTTCTCCTGCGCGCGACTTGAAAAGCTTTCTGGGAAATGTAGGAAGTAACTGGAACAGACAGAAACAATGCAGGTCGGCCGGTCCCAGGGAACAAGAAAGAGGGAACTGGTTTCTGAGAGCGAAGTTTGACCCTGGTGACCTTCTGCTGCGTGTTTCTGTTCAGGCTCAGCTGCAGCGCTCGCTGGACAGCGCCGTCACCCTGCAGCCCAGGGCTCTGATTGGCCGGCGCGGCAGGAAGGAGGCGGCGGTGGTAACTGAGAGCAGCGGAGAGGGCGGCAGCCCCCTGTCTGAGCAGGACTCTGGCATTCTGGACGTGGAGGATGAAGAGGAGGAAGATGTGAGCATGACGGCACCACAGACACTGATCTGGTCCTGACAGGGTCATGTTTAACACCAGCAGCATCACAAATGAGATAATGAAGCAGCTTTTTAAAGTCATTGTTCACAAATCTCAACATATTGATAAGGATTTCCCTCCTTCACTCTGCACTTCTCTCTTCCTCTGTTGCTTTTCTTCTAACGTCACTATTTATTTATTTAATTAGTTTTTTAACTTGATTAATCAAATTAAATTTTAATTAGTAAATGTATTTTAAATAATCAATTACATAATTTTCAGTTGGATAATTGTTTTATTGATTTAATTATTTTTGGTTAATTAGTTGGTTCACTGATTAATGAAATGTATTTATTTTTAATTTTATAATTGAAAATCATTGTGCAAATATTTGAAATTAAACGCGTGTAAGAGAAAAAACATTTTAGACAAATTAAAACATGTTTCTTATGACATTTTAGGTTTTTTTTTTTTCAAAATATTTACTTTTATTCAAAGGCTATTTTAAAAAAATATAATTTTTCCCATGAAACTAGAGTTTAAACTGTTGGATACACTTTTAAGGTAAATATTTTGCAGGGTTTTCATACAATAAAAAAAAAACAGATTTTCAAAATGAGATGTTTCCAAAGCTTGAATCAGTTTGAAAGCTTTAAGACAGAGTTGATTGAAGTTCGATCTCTGATCTGACGATGTTCAGAGCCGGAGCGCTCCACCTTGATGCAGCAGCTTACATATGTGTGACCGTCTGTCTGCACACCTGGTCCACCTTAACAATCACCAAACCTGACCTGTTTGGAGTCAATCTGATGATCCGATCCTGTTTTCCATGTTCAGTGAGAATGAAATTACCTGCAGATTACATGCATTTCAGACCAAACCCTGAGGTTTTCCCATTCTTATGCATCTATTATGTTGTTGCCAGAGCAGAAATGTCCATCCAAGTTTAAACGGTAAAAGATGGCACTTGTTGCTCCAGGAGTGCCATCTTGTCCCGGCGGCGCTGTGACCTGCTGGTGGTCGTCCCTCTCCGGATCGGAGTTCCTCTGTTGTTCCCAAGCCAAGTACAATGCAGCTGAACTTGTCACCCCCTGCCCGCCCTGCGCTGGCACTCGGGTCTCTGTGGCTTATTGACGTCCTGTAAACTTGACTCAACCTTCTCCGTGTGAAGACCTTGTGTCGAACAAAGGCCTGACCCCGCAGTCGTCAGGGTTACGACCGTTTTGGCGCCAGCGGCCTTCAGAAATGCCAACCACCAGCCCGTCTTCCCCTTCCCTTCATTTAATGACCCTTATTTCTGTTTTACTCTTTTTGTTTTTTAAAGCTGCTTTTATTATTCGACATCAAAACATCTTTTCAACACCTTTAACTTTTGTCTTCCTTTTTATCTTCCTGAATTTGTTATTTACCCGGTTTTGTTTCAGTTTGTATTTTACAGAAAACACAGATCCCCAAGAACATTTTATTTTAAACATTCTGTAAATGTCCAGAAACAGAAAATAATACAGCAAAACTGCCTATAGGTTTAGTTTTTATTACCTTTTTATTTAATTTTTAATTCAGTGGGACACTTTAATCGTCACAGCCGGTAAAATTTAGTTAAAAAATTAATCATTTTTCTCCATTTTGCTGCTTATTTAGCTACAACTGTAACAGTTTGGCGTCATTTGTGTTTCCCCGTTTCTAGAGGATTAAAGAAATGTTTGTTCAACCTGTGCAGGTCCCAGGAGCTCAGGACCTGGTGGATTTCTCCCCCGTCTACCGCTGCCTCCACATCTACACTGTGCTGGTGAGTCCTTCCTCTTTAAGTTTAATAACACTGAACCATTTCCACTTCTGCTCTTAACCCACCTGTGATCCCGTTCTCACCTGTCCTGGTCTTTAAATCTGCAGAATGAATGAAGCCAGATGACTTTATGCTGATGATTCTGTTCTGGTGCCACGTTAGATCAACCAATCACCAACCTGCAGACTGCACTTAATATTTTTAAACATAACTCGACCACTTTAAAATTGTGGTTAGGTTCTAAGAAAGCTAAACTGATGACCTTTCTGTGATTAAAATAAAATTCCAGCTGTTCATAATCTTACACTTACAGAAACTGACGTAGTGTCACATAACAAAATACTTTAATATAATCATCGGTCAGTTTATTGGTCTTTTACTTTGCATATTCAAAATTTGGTGAAGGAGTTTAAATTGAGATTCATTATAAATTAAACATTTTTACTCATCGTTCTTTGCTGTACTCCAGGATTTGTTGGTTTTCTCTTTTCATTCAACGTTGGCGTCACCGTCATCTTTTATTACTTATAAGGCTTTATTAGTAAGACTACTTCCTCCCTACTTCATTTCCGTTATTCATCAGAAATCTTTGCCGTGGTTCACCAGACTTTTTTTATTCCTAGAGTCTGTGGTATATATATATAAAAAAAACTTTCCATTTGGCATGACTGCAGGTTTAGTCTCATTTTATTTCTTCCAGCGTTGCCTGTTATTTTTCCTGGTTAAGTACAAGCTGAAAAACTGTTGGTTGTGTCTGACTCGTCAGTGCGACCAGGTGTTACTCCGGTGCATCAGATTCATCGAGTCTGACGACGTATCTGCAACCAGCAGGAGGTTTGTGTGGTGTTCTCCGAGGCCTCCAGGCTCAGGCCTGGCTCCGCTCCAGCCTGGCTGCGTGTCTCTTCTCAGTCTGAGCGAAAGCGACGCGGGTGGAGGTGTTGACTGGGCCACGGCGGGGTCAGCTGCGCATTTCTGGGGCTGACTGAGCGTGTTTGTGTGTTGGGGTTGTGACCGGGCCAGCTCGGCCACGGGGTCGGCGTTTCTGTGCACTGAGAGTTTTTTGTGTGGTGGGGCGGGGGCTTCGGAGGGGGGCTGACAGGAAGTGCATGAACTTTGACAGGAAGGAGAACGATGGAGGGAGTAAAGGAAAGCAGAATCAGGGTGAGAGAAAGGGTACGAAGGAAGAGATGATGGAGGGAGCGCAGGAGTGCAAGCTCCTGGGGAAACCGGCCAATCAGGAGACGTTTGACCAGGTTTAGACAGGTGATGGTGTGAACATTTCTAAAGTGAAGAAGGAGAAGAATTTATTAAAGCTGAACTTTTTCTTTGTTTATTCATATTTTCATGATGTTGCAGTTGTTGCCATTGGCCGGTTTTAACAGCTTGTTGCCAATTTGTACTTTTTTTGTGGAGCACCTTGCAAAAGTATTTGTACACCTTAAATTTTCCCTATTTTTGTCTGTGGATCCACACAAATACATCGTTTTTGCAATGATTTACACATACAGATTTTAGCATTCTGTGGTATTCAGCAGGGATGGAGGGCTGGAGACCAGTCCTGAAATGTTTTTTCCTGGTCTTGGTACAACCAATCTTGACCAATCTAAATTTATCATACAACTATTGTGTAATGCGAGCTGATGAATTCAGCTTACAGATTGTATTTCAGTAGCTTAAGTATCAGTATTTGATAATTATTAGTTTAACACCAAGTGGTTGAAGCTGAGTAGCTACTCGTTTTTCTGGTCTTGACCTTGGAAGATCTGTTTTTGGTTTTGGAAGGTTTTGGAAAGGTTTGGAAGGTTTGCTCTTGGTTTTGGCGGTTTGGTCTTGGTCTTGGAAGGTCTGGTTTTGGTTTTGGAAGGTTTTGGAAAGGTTTGGAAGGTTTGCTCTTGGTTTTGGTCTGGGAAGGATTGGCCTTGGTCCCCAAAGGCCTCATTATCTCTAGTCTCGATGTCTTGTAAAATGTCAGATTTGAGGTGTTTCAAAAAGTAACTGGTGGCAAAATACCCATAAAGACTCGGTGGTTTCACAGAGTACAGACCCAGTGAGAGGCTGAAGTCATACTTCTCTCTCTTTTTAGGATTTTTGGAGGAATGGCTGCAGAACACCAAATAGAAAGATTACTGGAAGCTGATAAATACTCATTTGATGTACTTATCAAAAGAACCAAGATGAAAAAAAAATCAATGGAGGATGTAAAATCAGTAGAAGAAAAGCTTTTAAGCGATGAATAAGCAGTGGTTGGAGAGGATGAAGGCCGTTGGAGGCGTAGCAGCAGAGAGTGAATCAGCTAAAGAGCGATAAGGACGGGTCAGAAGGGGAGGAATGGAGGAAGGTCGAGGGGAGGCTGAAAGGGCAGAAACAGGAAAGCCAGGAAGAAAACACAACACAGAGGGATTGAGATTAGAGAGAGGGAGGCAGCTACTGTGGGAGAAGAAGAGGAGGAAGGTGTTGAAAGGGTTGACCTGCTGACCTCTGAGGTCACCGCTCGTTTTGCCTCTCTGATGTTCCTGCTCACATTTTGGCCGTAGAAAGTGACGGAACGCTTTCGTTTACTTTTCTGGCGAGTCTGGAAGAGGAATCCTCTCTCCTCTCTCTCCCCTCGCCGTTTTCCGTGCCCAACGTCCACGTTTTTCCAGCAGTTGTTGAGCAGCGTGGAGGCCGAACAATGCGCCTTTGTTGTAGTTCATGTTGGGCAACGTGGGCCGAGTTATGATTGATGTAAACACGGCGAGCAGAGAGGGAGGGGAGGGAGGTTGACAGCGAGGCACTTTCTTCAGAATCGGAGCCGGCCTGCTGAGGTTTTCCTTCTGGAGGAGACATCGTTCGGTTGGACTAAAGCGAAGGAAAATCGAGCACACACGAGACTTTACGGTCTTTAAAGAGACGGGGGAAATGGTGCAGGTTGCTGTTTTACGATCCTCCAGTGTGGAAATGTTCAGCAAAAAGGAAAATCCATGAATGCCGAGAAGGAGCTTGGTCAAAATAAAATCTAGTTTTCCAAGTCGCCCATGGAGTTTCTCCTGATGAGATGAGAGTTACCTGAAAGTTAACAGCCACACAGAGCTGCTGAAAAGTGTTTGCACCTTTTTGAAATATCAGGTCAACCTGAATAAATACTAAAGCCCATTATTTTAGTCAGTTATCCTGGAAAAAGCATCCAAACCAGCCTGGAAGTTGAAGGAGTTGGTGGTGGTGGACGATATCGACACAAAATTTTATCGCAATATTTTGTGGTTCTGTGTCGATAATGACAAATATGAATAAACTATTTACTAGCTAACTGTAGTGCCACAAACAAATTCTGTTCTTGAAAACATTCCCATTTGAAATGGACTTTTTCATTTAAAAACTTAAAGAAGTTTGAATTAAACCGCATATATTTTAAATCCCTTCTTACATTAATAAGCCTGTCACAAAAATACATTTTGCTGGACTATAAATTGTCCCAGAAATTGTGATAAATGATAATATTGTCATTTTTAGACCATTTTCAACTAATATGATATAAATGATATTATTATAATGGCATATTAATTCAAGTGCAGCGTCTCAAAGGTCAAAAAGTTTCTAAAGAGCAGTTTAAACATCCAAACTAAACAAAGCATAAACAAATTGTATTTCAAAAAATAATGATCATTCAGCTTTGACAAGGAAAACAGGCAAAAGAGGCAGGAAGTGCAAACTAATGTGAGTCAAATGTTTGCATCGTCTCTCAAAATGCCCGTTTTTCAAGACTATTAATGAAAGCAACTTTATCAGCTGTTGTCCGAATGGAAATTATTGATTTCATTTCAATTTATCACAAGATTAATTGCTTTTTGACAGGCTTACATGTGAATTCCCCATTTGTATGTGATGATAGTAAAACTGGTTTGATTTGAAACATGAAAGCTTTTGACAAAAAGCAAGGGAAATGTTTTTTCTTTAAATTAACATTTTTATAAAGTTTCTAGCTGTAAATAAGTGAACATTTGCTGTAATGTAGCCTTAAAACAGTGAGTTGTATCCACACATCTCCGCCTGTTGAACTCCATTAACCTCTCATTTTATTGGTTTTTGTCATCCTCGGTCCGTTTCAGTCTCTGCGTATCGTCTCACCTCCTTTGTTTCTGTGGCGATACAAAGGTCACACGTCCACATCCCAGCCCAGGTTTCACCCCTCTCTGGGATCTCAGCGCCGTAAAACGAAGAGTTCACGGCCGTTTGATGCCGCTCGCTTGTTTGAATGCTCATTGTTCGGCTTAGGGTCAAACTGGGAATTAAAGAATTAAAGCACGCCGTGTTTTCATCTCACAGCATCAAACTGAACAGAGTTCAAAGATGTTATCTAGATCTCCACCAATGAGATTCATATTTTTATACCAAATACTTTGTTTTCTTTGTAATTTATTGCTTTCAATGGACATCTTGCAGCCAAGACTTGCTATAAAAAAAAAACGAATATTGTTTAAGTGCAAAACGATCATGTTGACTCTTTGGTCCCTTCAGGTCAGACAAAGGCTTCTTGAGATTAATAGAAATCCTTCCTGCCCACAGAGACTCTTTGCTGAGTTAGAACATTTCATTTTCCTTTAGAGCAAATTAAGTACTTTTGGTAAGACGTATTCTAGACAGACCAGTTTATTGTAAATTAAATATTTTATACAGCTTTGACCATACGGACCAAATTACATTCAAATCAATAATCATTCCTGATGAACAGGGATTTTACTTTCTGTGTCAGTAAACAACGATTGGCACTCTTCTGCTAATGTGCTAATAACGAAGCTAATTAATGTTTTGTAAACTTTCAGTTGAACAAAGTTCAACATCTGTGTTGGAAGTTTTGGTTATAGACCTCTTCTTCTTCTTCAAGTAGGTAGATGTTTATATTCATGCTCTTATTCTGAAGGGGGTGGCAAGTGTTTTACGCAGCAGTTCCATTTCCTCTCCTCACGTTCTCTTTCTGTATTCCTAATAACTTTATTTAAAACAAAAAACACATAACAAAATAAAACTGACAGTAGGGAACTAGTTAGTGAAGTTAGCGCCTTAGCATTAGCTATTGCGTAGGAGTAGCGCTTTAACGTTAGCTCAGTTAAGGCAAAAATCTGTGCAACTGCAACTTTTGCTGCATAAATCAGTTGAAAGGTGATCAGATTGTCCAAAGAAAAATAAAAGTTGATGTGCTTTATTGTGTAAATATGAGGAATTGGTGCAGTAGGGACCATGTAGACGTCAGTGAATAACCTGATCTGTATTTGTTATCACAGTGGTAACAGCTGGTGGTCCATCACAGCAGATATGTGGGAGTTTATCCATGGTGGTCTGGTCAGGAGCGGAGGGGTTCTGGCTTTGGGCTTTTATCTCTGACCTCAGCAGTGACTGTAGGTCCTGGTTTCAGACCTCAAACAGACCTTCGCACAACCCACAGGGAGATAAGAGATAAACAGCTTCTGTGTAATGGAAGAAATAGATATGGAGTCATCAAGTTTACGAAAACAGATGCAGCTTCTATCTGTGTGTTAAGGCGGTGGCTGACCTCACCGACGGCAGACCGATGAGGTCACAATCTGTTACTCACTCATTTAAAATAACTGCACTGAGGTAACTGGGTCAATTTAACTTACCATGATAACCTGGTGATGAAGAAATCAAATCTTTCAGGGAACAACTTGCAATCTTAAGTGTGAAATACTAATAATTTCCTTCATCCATTTCAGGTTTGGTAAAAGCTTTCAAACTCATACACTTGCTGTGCTCTGTTTGTTCACTTTTGGTTTTTAACCCCCGTTTATGTTTTAGGGTTTGCGTGATGTGTTTGAGAACTACTACAGAAAGCAGAGGAGGAAACAGGCTCGCCTCGTACTGCAGCCGCACTCTAACATGGTACGACCCGCACCGTCACGGTCATGGAGGGCCACTCACTTCTAACTGCACACACAACCCCCAACCTGACTCACTGGTACACCTAATAAACACCTTAACAAAGGTGGAAAAGTGCTTTATTTTGGAAATCATTGATGTGCTGTATTAAATTTTAACTTTTTACCATAGTGGATTAATGCCAGTCAGCATTACCTTAAGTACACAGCAGTTTGTGTGATCTCAGTTTGGAGAACCGTTTGTAATATCACACAAAGAAATCACATTTTTGTTCAAGTAACTGGAAGCAAATTTATGGCATTCCAGGGTTAAGAAAACAGCTATCTGGGGTTAAGCTAACAGCTGACTTGAGTCGATCAAGGCAATCAAGTAATAAGCTAGGACGATGCTAAAAACCAACATGAGTAACAGAACAGCTAACTCCAAATAATCTGAAGGCTAACTGGAGTGAAGCTAAAACGTAATTAGATTAAACAAGTTAAGTACAGATAAACTGTTGTAAAGCTAAAAGCTACTTGGATTGAACATAACAAATAACTTCAGATAAACTAAAGGGTAACTCAGATGAAGCTAAAAGATAACTGAATTAACAGTTAGCTACAGATAAACTGAAGGCTAACTAGGATGAAGCTAAAAGTCTATTCCATTAATCATAACAGCTAACTTCAGCTAAACTGAAGGCTATTTAGTTTATCTGTTAGCTAAAAGCTAATTGGTTTAACCATAAGCGATAACTATGGTTATCAAAGTCAAGCTATCTCTACTCAAAACAAATTCTAGGTGCCAATTGCAAAGCTATTTTCAATCATCTTTTTTTATCTTGTAAATTAGCCTCTGAATGCTGTATGTCGATTATACTTCATTAAACTTGTTCTTTTAGTGATAATTTGCAACTTTTATGTGTTTTTCCTGTGCTGTCGAACCCTCTTCCGTTTCTCTTCCTTCTACTCGTCTCTAGCATGAAACCCTGGAGGGATACAGGAGGTACTTCAATCAGATTGTTGGGTGAGTCCATCCTTTATTAGCTTGCCTTTTAAAATTTATATAAACTGAAATGAAAGTAGAACAACATGTACCAGTGGATATTTGAAATATTTGTCTTTCAAAATGTCTCGAACAAAGCAAAGTCTCTGATTGGTTTATCTTTATTTATCCTTCCTTCTGTCATCTTGATGCCTTTTCTATCCAGCTATTTATATACATTTGGAAATTTCATAAAGCTAAGAGCTCAGTTGGCATGTTAAACCCTGAAGTTCATCACAGGACACAGTCTCGTCTCGTTGATAAGATTCATGTAAATAAACCACAGGAGCTATAAATCGATGTCCTTTTGGACAGACCAGAAGTGTCGGGTGATTTGAGGTTCACCCACTTCTTCTGAGTTGAGTGTGAGGTAATGTACCAGGGCTACTTTGTAATCTGCAAGCAAGAGATCAAGACATTGCTGGAAACATATGAGGTTATTGCTGTTATGTTTTCCAAGGTTTTTCACAAAAAGAAAACAAAACAAACGAGAGAAAATGTTTGAAATCGGTCAAAAAAGTGGGCATTTTCCCGCAGTCGTCTGAAGGCAGAGAAAACTCACTGCAGCTCGTTGTGGTCTGGCGAAGCCTGAGCGGCCGACGATTTGATTGAGACGTTCTGTCAGCGCACATAAACCAAAATCGCTTTGATCCGTTCAGTCGGGCATCGTGTCGGGAACGAGCCGCGACACCAAGACGTCGGCATCATGAAACGCCTGACTGGGTGGACGCACCGTTTGCACTGCGTGCCTGGATTCATCTCTGCTGCTCTGGAAAAACAGAACAGCTGCAAAAGTATCGAAGCTGATCGTTATGGATGAAGTCTTTCTAACTTAAGGCGTCATTAGGAGTTTTGTTACAGCTTTTTGTTAGAAACTTGATTAGTTTCTGGCTAAAATAGTCGTTATGTAGAATACATTTTCATAATCCTCTCATCAGGTAGGAGATTTGGCTTAGGAATAAAATCTCTGATTTTTTCATACCAGATCTGATTTTTATTTATTTTTTCTAAAAAGGAAATTACAGAAACTACTTTCAAAAAGTGGATTTTATTTCACTCATCCATTTGTTGAGTTGTACTGCAGAGTATCAGGGACAGACTGAGATTTTTTGTTTAGTTGTGAACAAAAACAATTCTCATAATTTTAGCAGAAAAAATATGAGAAAAATTGTTTAATAAGAAAAATCTTTGAAAAAGTTATTATCTGACCTGAACTTCTCAGTTTGTGTAGATTTTTTAAAAATAGAAACATTCGTTTATAAGTTATGTTACTGATAATAATTTGTCAAAATATTAAGCATTTCTTTTAGCTATTCTGTAAAACCTATACCAAAACTTTGCAAGATGCTCAAAATTCCTCGTTTATTTATTTTCCTGTTGGAGTTCTCATAAAATTACTACTTTATTCAAATATTACAACTTGTAATACTATGATTTTATTCTCTAAGTTAAAATTAAAAAGCTTAGCCTGGGCCTAATATTTTGTCGTACATTTGACCTGAATTAAAAAATCCAAGTAAATAAAAGCTGTAAAACACGCTTGTCGAACAAGATGGCCGCCTTGGGCGTGCTGACATCACTCTGATCTAGGGAAACCCAAAGAGTTCATTGGTGGGAAAACAAGCTTAAATCATTTTCTTGCATTATGCTCATGAAGTGTTGCCGTTTCTGTCTCCGTCCAGCTTCTTCGTCGTGGAGGACCACATCCTTCACACCACCCAGGGGTTGGTCAACAGAGCCTACGTGGAGGAGCTCTGGGAGCTGGCTTTGTCCAAAATCGTCGCTGCCTTGAGGACGCACTCTGTAAGACGTTTTCTGATTATCAAACGTCCGATCGATTATTCTGACCACTCGGACACAGTTGATTGAGTTTTCAGCTTACCCTACTGTAAAACTCTGCCTTGTAGTTGTTCAATATTGGCTGATTTTTCTAAAATATTCAGTAGAAAATGCTGCAAAAGAATCACAAACCATAAGTCCTGTTAGATACAGTAAGTTAATAACTGGCGTTATGTTTGTTTCACGTTTACTAAGACATTTCCTCTGCAAACTAGACCGAAAATACTTGGTAAGATTTTGTGCTTTTGCAGTGTACTCGCAAATAAATCAAACAAAAATAAAGCAAACCAGCTTTCTGGAGAGCATATTTTAATTTTAACATCTGTAAATAATTTTGGCCCACAACGTTTGTTTCTGGCGATCTTCTAAAAAACGCCCTGGTCTGTCTCTGCAGTCGTACTGTGACGACCCGGACCTGGTTCTGGACCTGAAGAACCTCATCGTCCTGTTTGCCGACACTCTGCAGGTTTGTGTGCTCGCCTCTTTGTGTTCACCCGGAGGATCATGAATCTTTTCTACAACTTGTTTTATCAGCATTCAGTCCGTGTCCAAGTGGACAGCTGCCAGTTTCCAGAGTCTCCTTTAATAACCAAACCATGTTAGAAATAATAGTTCATCATCATCCGATGTGAGTTTTTACTGTTTATGCGTCTCTGTTTATGAGCGGCCCTCGATGGATTGAGTGTGATGGATGAGTGGATGGAGAGATGGTGAGGGGTGTGGGTGAAAGCTGGATGGGATGAAAGCATGGAGTCTGATGAATGGGTGGTCTGATGCCCACCAGTCATTTATGTGAAGTGATGAGAAGCAGCTGAATCGATGCGCTCATATTTTTATTGGCTTTTATGTTCCAGTACACCAGGCTCCTTTTCATGAATGCTTCTCTCAATTTCAGGCCTGAATTTTTACTCTAATACCAAACAAAGTTCAGCATTTAGTCTTTAAGTTCCATCTGGAGTAGCTAATTAGTTGGAAATGCTAAATATTGAATCAAGCACACAAAAAATACGGGTCATTAAGTCTGTTAATCTACAAATAAACACTCTTCTCCTGAGAGATTTACTACTTCCTCTAAAGTGGAACAGTTAAAGGGTTAGTATTCGGTAAAATCGACTCTTTTCAGCCCGATTTCGTCTTATAATGTTATTCCCTCATCAACAACATACCTGGAGTGTTGGTTTGATTCTTTCATTCATGTTTGAGAAATGGAAGCTTCTGAGCTTCCATCTCACAGAGCAGCTCCTTCAGACTAGCCAGCAGCAATTAGCAAACACCCTGTGTGCATCAGCTGAGCTCATTATAGGAGCGACTTTTCAGTGCAACTGTGGTAAAAATGTTGTTAAAGGGTTAATAGAGGAGCCATGTTGTGACGACTTCCTGGAGGCGGAGCTTCAGAAAGAGCAGGAGTTTTTAAAGAGACAGAGCCCCAATTTCAAGGCGCTAACTTATGAAGTCAAATTTCTTTTGCCTTATTTGACTTGTATAACAACTGAAGGTAACATACATACTTGATTATGTTATAAAATGGCACTATGTACCTGAAAAATACCTAATATTGCCTCTTTAAGTCCAGAAGTATTCATACACTTTATAATAAAATTATGTAAAAATTGTGTCAGTTGAAAAACAAAAAAAATTATTTACTTTTTAACTAGAATTTTTATTTTCCCTTTCTAATAATGAGTGTGGAAATATGTATTGGCATTTCAACAATCAAACATCCTTCCTGTTCTTTCAGACAAGCTTATCGTTTATCACAATAACTTCTGGTACAATTTATCGTCCAGCAAAATGTGTTATCTTGAGAGACGCATTTTCTATTTTATTCTAAACATTAGTTGTTTCTTTATCATTTTATTGAAAGTTATTAAGAGCCTGTTTTCCAAGATAAAAACTAATGTTAATGTCAAAACTCAGTAGTTGGTATTGAAATTCTCCTTCAATTAAATGCCTGGAAAACCAAAACGAACACATTTCCAGAGAATATGAACTCAAACGTGGCTGAAAATCTCCGGTTTTTGTTACTGTTTGATAGCAGTGCCAAGCTCGCATGTTTTTCACGTCGTTTTTTTTCCCGTCCTCATGTGCAGGGTTATGGTTTCCCCGTGTCCCAGCTGTTTGACATGCTCCTGGAAATGCGGGAGCAGTACGGAGAAATCCTGCTGAAGAGGTGGAACCTCACCTTCAGGTAGGGATCAGGTTGTGCCGCGGTTATCAGAAGGTCACCAGGACCCTTTCTCAGAACGGCCCAGCCGGGGTTTGAAGTTTTACAAGCAGCCAGAGAGAGGAAGGGCTTTAAATTGCGTCCGGAAGAGAATGGGTAGTACCATTCAGGACTCGGGTTGGGCCAGTGTGTGCTCGGGCCCGGCGTGCCATTGTTCCAGCATCCCTTTTGTCCCGTGACACCACTGGGACTCGGAGCAGTGAGAACGGACAAACAAACACACACATTCCCTCTCTCCTTCCTCTCTCTTTCTCGTTCACACACAAGCACTTGGGAAGCCGCAGGAATGTTGTGTTGCATTGTTGGGGAGAGAGCCCTCTCCGGTTCACGGCCTCTCCATGGAACGCTGGAACGTCCGAGCTCCGCAGCGCCAAGAAGAAGTGGGGGTGTTGACTGAAGGGAGGGTGGTAAGAAAACCTCAAGCATCAGAATGACCCCCAGTGGGACGTGTTGGTTGTTTCTGAGAAGGAAAAACAGAGACTCATGGTGTCTTTCTCTCTTGTTTTATGGCATCTAAGCAGGAGATCGGAAAATATTTACCTGAGATTTCTGTTTGTTTCCCTGCAGGCAGATTCTGGACCAGGACAACTTCAGTCCAATCCCGGTTTCTACAGAGCAGGAATACAGACAGTACACTTCTCAGTTTCCCCTCCAAGACCCGGAACTGGAAAAGGTGGAGAGCTGCGACCTTGAACCAGGCCGTAAAACCACAGCAGATGAACCGAAAGCTAAAATAAAACTCCATTTGTCTTTTAGCTTTCCTTCCCCAAGAAGCTTCCCTTCTCCGAGTTTGTGCCAAAAGCCTACTGCCAGCTGAAAGAGTTCATCTATGCTTGCCTGAAATACTCCGAGGATCTTCATCTCAGGTGAGCTTCTTGGTGTTCGCCCAGTTCCTCGTGAAAAATTACAGCGTGTTGGTGAACTCAAGTGCTTCACTCCACTCCACCAGTGTCATCAGAAAATATCCTGCAGGGTATAAATAAAGCAGGTGAAAACAGAAAACTTACCTCCACTTTTAGACAGAAGTAAACACCAACAAGCATCACATGTGGGGTTCCTCAGGGCTGTGTGCTCGGGACACTTTGGTTATATTAGATGGGTAAAAATTGCATAATATACCAACAAATTGTAAAACTTTGTTTGTGTATAATTGTTGTTTGATATGAACATCTGTTATCACATACCAACAAACGTCGCAGGTGGGGTTCCTCAGGGCTGCGTTCTCAGTTCACGCTTCATGTTAATGTGTAAAAATTGTCTAAAATACCAACAAATTGTAAAACTTTGTTGGTATGTTGTTACATACCAACAACTGTCACATTCTCATGTGTAACGCAGGTCATGGTTTGCAGACTAATTACTTTGCAGAATATTATTTTATCTTGACAATGATGATGCTTTTAAAAATATGAATATATATTCTGTGTTTTTTAATATGATCCGTTTTATGGGAAGATCCTTGAGGCCTTCTGTGAAAATTGAATGTTATTAACCTGTTTACGCCCAAGTCTAGCTCCCGTAAAACTTAAACAGTTGCCAATCAATCAACCAATCAATCAGGTTTATTTGTGTAGCACATTTCAGCAGGAAGGCAGCTCAAAGTGCTTTACATCGTAAAAACACATAAATACAAAGTCATAAAAAACAACATACAGTTGTGAAAACCAGTAACACACGAAGCGGTTTTGATGATCATCAACACACATCAAAGTCACCTCCAGTGTGTTTCTGTTTAAGGAGGATTAAAGCTGTGCAGCTACTTTTCTTTCAAGTAGACAAGCGATCCAGAAGCGGTTTCCTTCCTGTCCGGAAGAATTGAACAAAGCTGGGACTCGGCCAGTCACACGCTGAACAACATGCAGGAAAGCAGACAGAATCCAACTCGCCCTGAATCACGACGCTTGAAGAAAGCAATCAGATCAATGGATAGGAAATAAATTGGAGAGGGTGGAAGCACTGATTTGTGATTGGAGCAGAAACAGGGGAACGAGTGATTACGCTTTGGCTTGAGACTGGAGGGAAGGAGCTGCTGCAGCAGATTCAGAGAAGCTTGTTAGAAGATGAATATGTCAGGCCCTCGGCGTTTTGCTTTGTAAAGTTTGACATGTTGTGAATATAAACCAGTTCTGTCCTCTTGTAAAACCCACAAACCAACCTGAGCAGAGCGAAGTGGATGTCCAAGTGAAAACCTCCTTCTGGTCTCTCTCTGACCAGACAGGACGAATCGCTGCCCTCAATCAGAGTAATGACTCCCAACTCTTTGAGCTCCCTTGATTTCTGCCGTCAAGCACGCCCTGCTATCCGGTTGCCACGGCGGCACGCCTTCCTGTCGACTTCAGACGTGCGCTGGCCCGCAGCGACGGAAGCAGACGGGATGATGGAGCCGGATTATAGTCATCGATATCCCTGACCTCTGGGCTCAACCTCGGCTCACGTTTGTAATTAGGCGGAAAGAAGCGACCGCAGCGCCCTCCCTCCGTAGGGACCAGGACAATGGCCTTAAAGGAAACCTGTGATGCCACGCCTCGCTTTTAACTCCTGAGCTGTAAACATGGGCAGATGTGACTGCATTGAAGTTTTAAGTTGTTTAATTGTTCGAACCTTTCTGCTTTGCTTGGATAGCATGTTCTCTTGTCTTTCCTAATTTGAAGAAAGCCTGAGAGAAATGGGCTCCTGCGTCATGTTGGTATTTATACCCCAGGGAAACATGAGTATGAGTCAAAATTTCCTCAAAAGTCTGATTAACTTTAAAAAGTTAAGTGCAGAAAATGCTTGATTCAGGCTGTCCATGTCAAAGACTCAACATGAATGTTAAAATTCAGCACTATTATCACATTATCAGTATTTAAGAGAGAAAATGCCTGGTAGACGATGGAAAACGACAAAATTCATTTTAAAGCTTTAGAACTAGATCTTTAAAAGAGCTCTCGATTTTCTGGTTCCTGCCAGATCAGACAAATGAATCCGATTATCACAAATCAAGTCATTTACTAGCAAATTCTTTGAAGAGAGAAATCTTATATTCAGCAAAGCACATTTAGTTTGTCGTGTGTTTTCCTCTTTTAGGCCGGGTTTCCCTCCAAATGTTCACCAATTATCCCTTTGACTTCCACAACGTAAACATCCTCTTACTTCATTTGATTCTTTCATCCCTGACTTTGCTTTGTCTAATGCATCCGTGCTTCATATATTTGGCTGAAATCTGTGATTTTGAGGACTTCCCTCCCTCCTCCTGCCTTTAACCGCAGCTGGTTGGTAGAGACATCGCTTTGCGACGTGACGGAGAGCTGGACGCTGGCTTGGCTGGCGCGTTGCAGATGGAGCTCTGTGGTTGCTCCTGGAGGAAAAGCGGTGATGAGGTGGCGAAGACGTGAACATCCGCGGGAAAGAAGGCGACTCGTAACTTAGTCGGAAATAAGAGGAGCGTTTTGACAGAGGTTTTCTTATGTAATCCTCAGAATAAATTGTGGAAAGGCCGAAGAAAGTGAAAATGAGAGGCGCTGCTCAGATGGCAGACGACTGAAAAAACGTCTCGGCTTCTCCAGTAGAAATTAATATTCATACAATAAAATTAAAAGGGAAAAGATGGATTTGAGGCATGTCAACTCTAGATGTATTTATTGACATTTCAACTGTAAATGTAGACACACTGTAGTTATTTAGAAAGGCTCTGAATCTGCAGTTTAACCAGCAAATAACAGGAAGTCACACAATTGAAGCTCCTACTTCAAAAATAAGAGGATGTCTGTGCTAAAAGGAGTAATATTAGGAAAATTAAATACGCTTATTCATCTTCTGGTGAATAAATGTCTGATATCTGTATAAAAAATTATTTGTTCACTGAATGAATTTATTTCCAGGATAAATAAATAAATACATCATATAACGGTGCAGTCAGTATCTCCAGTGAGAAAAACCATGTCTGGACCTTAACATGTTAATTTGAGTCATTAATTATACAGATCTTAACAGGTTTAAGATTTTAACGCAGTTAATCAGTACAGTTTAAAATTAGAATATTACATCAGTCCAATAAAATTAAAACCATTTTAATACAGAATTAAAATCTGTTTTAATTAAAAACTGTTTTGAAGGTGACAGTTAAGGGGTTAAAGGTTAAAGGTGCTTTTAATCTGACAAATTAAACGCGTATTCTAATTTATTGACTATAACTGTAGATGTAATGGCACTTTGCACCAATCTGATGGTTAATAACAGATTAAAAATAATAAATATCTTTGTTGTTGAGCTCGTTTATGTGTTTATTCAGTAATTTAGCAGTTTTTGAATCGAAAATGTTGCTCATTTTGTCGATTTGTTTTCGATAAAAACCCTATTGATGAATTACAGAGCCTGTAATTAACTCGACTAATGACTTTAATCAAGTCCCGCCACTTGTTTAAGTGTGTGTGAGATATTTCCATCAGTCAGTTAGCATGGCTGATAGCAGCATCGGCCCTGCTGTGTGTGTTGGATGGCCCTGGGCCGGCATCCCTCCATCCATCCCTCAGCGTGTTGTTAACATGTCTGCGTTGAAGTCGTCTGGCCTCTTTGACAGAGCCGACCGCCGGCTGTTTATTGTGACTGATGGCAGCATAAATACAATGAAATTCAATCTGAGCCCTGCGGCACGGCTATATTTGTACACCCACAGAGTTCACTACGATGCATTGACTTTTTGCTACTCTCTGCACACATAATTTCTGTCCACTCGGCACTTCTGCTGCTCCAGGATCTTTTTTTTTTTTAGATTTTTTTTTTCAGGCCCCCCTGAGTCGTCGGAACGTTTTTTGGATTCTTGAGCTTCTTTGGAAGCGGACCGGGTTTAGGGTTCCAGCGATCGCTCCCCCTCAGGCGGACCTGCATGCGTCTGTGTGTGTTTAGGTTGAATTCCAAGCGCAATTTACTGATTTGGTTGGAATGAGTCTGTGTGTGTTATCCGCAGGGTTCTGGAGTCGGAGACGGAGGACAGAAAAAAAATAAAAATAAAAAAACACGGATTATTCATCATTTCTCAGTGGGAGAAACCGATCCTGCTCCTTTCTGCTGATTATCTGTGTGTTTCACCTCTTCAGACCTTTACATGGATCCCTCTGACTCCTTCTGCATTTTGTCGCGCAGTTTGGTTCTTCCAGGAACCTGATATTAAGCTCCCTTCCAGGGGAATTTGCTGCCATGCAAAACGTTACCGGACTCACTGGTAACACTGTGCAGAAATTTGTCTGAGTTTCCTCACCAAACATCAGCCTCATTTCAAGCAAAACAAAACGGATAGCATGTCAGTCATCCTGCTAAGCTGCTCTGCGCTGCTGCCATGAACTTTCTTTATTAGGTAACCTGAGCTCGTCTCAGGGTTTTGCCTGGTTGGCGGTGCAGAGTTGGTAATTTACCGACCATTAAAATCATGTAAGAAAACTTTTTCAAAAAGGATGACCGGCTTTTTTTTTTTTTTGAGGATTATTTTTTACCTTTAACAGAGATTAGCTTATTTAAACTTTATGGTCTTATCAGGAGATTTAAGAAGAACTTTTTAACGAGTCTGACAGATTAAGACATAGTAAAGTTGTTGTTAAAGTTGGCTGACATTTAGACTTTTTTTTTTTTTTTCCAAATGGAGAAATTCACTTTTAACTGTTTTTGCTGGCATTGAGACGCAGAGTTAGGTGGGTTGCACTTCTCTTTGCTCATATAAAAGTTTTTCACTTTTTTGTCCCAGAACCACCACAGGTTTTAATTTGATTTATTAGGTTTTACCTCACGGACCACAAAACAGTATATAACTATAATTGGAATGAAATTCAACTAATTTTTAAAAAGATTTGTATGACAAGTATACATTTCTGTTCAACCCCCTTTACTCTGACACCCTGAAATAAAGTCCCCTAAACAGAGAAATCTACTTCTGCAGTTATGTTTCCATCCAGTTGTTGAGATACTTTTAAAATGTTGCAAAACAGTTTTACAAAGAGTACAAAAAATGTCTCTAAATGCTTATTGTGCAGAATGTATGAGCTGTACAATGGCTGCTGGAAAAGAAAAGTGTTTTGTTGCTGACTTACCATCCAGAAACCAGTTGCTGCATTCTTGTTGGTTGTGCAGGAGGCTGCACTTCTGCTTTTCAAAGATGCACGGTTATATATTTGTGCATCAGTTTGCAGCCATTTTCATGTGAGTGTGTAAATTTTGAGTCGGGGCTGCAGCAGCTTATTTGGACTAAAAAAGACCCTAAAACAGACTAAAATTGTAACAAACATGTTTTGTATCGCCAATGGACTTGTCCTAACCTTTTCTACAAAACATGAAAGGTCACCTTTAGAGGTGGTAGAGATAAACTTCGAAAGATATACAGCTGTAAATGCAACAAAAGGTGCTAGATACAGGAAGCCACCACACTTTCTAGGTTTATACTTTCTAAAATATGAATCATTTTCCTTCCACTACACGACATTGCACTATTTTTGGTGTGTGGCACTAAAGTCTGAACAGAATCCAGTGAAGTTTGCGACAGGTTTGGAAACGGCGAACACTTTGTGAGACGCTGTGAACTCAGGTGTTTCTTTGTCTTCAGTTCCACGGAGATCGACGACATGATCCGCAAGTCGACGAATCTGCTGTTGACCAGAACCCTCAGTAACTGCCTTCAGTACGCCATCAAGAAGAAGAATGTGGGCCTGGCAGAGGTAAAGTCCATAATAATCATTATTATTGACTGAGAGGAGGAGTTCATCAAAGTTTCACTTTTTAAAATGGAAAAATCCCTGAAAAATGACCCAAAATGGCCGACTTCCTGTCGGTTTTAGATCCGAAAGACTTTTTGTTGTTCTATCTGTACACCAGATTTTAAATATCTAGAGCCACGCCTCTGTTGAATCCAATATAAATACTTAAGTTTCATGAAAAGAGGACTTGTGCATTTTATTTTATTTAATTTTAGTCCTTAAATCAATCAGTCAATCATCAGTCAGTTCAAAGTGCTTTACTTCTTAAAAATACAAAGTTATAAAAACACCATACAGTCAACAGTTGAGAAACTAGAAACAAACATCACATTTTGATGAGTGCCATCATCAAAATCATGAATACACATAAACTATGTCGGTCGATGTTTTTGTTGTAGTTCAAAAGCAACAGGTGGGTTTTAAGCCTTGATTTAAATAAACTCAATGTTTCAGTGTTAAAATGGCTGAAAATTCAAAGTTTCTTCCCGTAAGGTAAGAAAATGTTCCTGAGTGGCTCGCCTTAAGATTGAGCCGCCTTTAGCCCAAGTTTGCTCTCACTTTCCTCAAACTCAGATGCGTTTGGTTACAGATTTAAAGCGCCTGATGTTTGCTTGTGCAGTTGGTGCAGGTGATCATCAACACCACCCACCTGGAGCAGAGCTGCCACTTCCTGGAGGAGTTCATAACCAACATAACAAACGTCCCGCCTGAGACGGCGAACGCCACCAAGCTGTACGGGACCGCAACGTTTAAGGTCCGTCTGTCTTCATTTCTACAAACAAACCAGCTGCTGGTTTACCGCCAGCAGGCTGACGGGGCTTTAGCTTTGCTTTTGTTGTGTTGTTTTTGTCTGTCTTTGTTGTTTAATTTAAAAAAACATTCTTTATTTAAGAATATGAACCCAACATAATACGCTTATTTTGATACAGCTCTGGATAAAATGAAGACGCCACTTGAAATGATCAGTTTCTCTAATTGTACTATCTATGTGTTTGAGTAAATGAACATTGTTCTTCTATTCTATGAACTTCTGACAACATGTCTCTGAAATTACAAGTGAAAACTTTGTAGTTATTAGCAGAAAATGAGAAATGGTCAAGATAACCAAAAAGATGCAGAGCTTTCAGAGCTCAAACAATGCAAAGAAAACAAGTTCATGTTCATTTAGAAACAACAAAACTATGTTTTAACCCAGGAGGAGTTCAGAAATCAACATTTGGTGGAAAAATCAGGAGGTTTTCAGTCGGGTTCAGTGCAGTGGGCTGTTATTTTTACCAGAGCTGGAGATACACATACACACACTTACTCCTATAGTACCTACATTTATTATTACTATTTTCCTCTGTGCGTCCTAAATGGTCTTTAACGTGGCTTATTTGTGACTTAAAATGATCATGGCTATGCTGGAGCAGGACGCCCGCCATGCAGCGGAGGCGGAGATCTACACCAGCCTGAACGCCAAGATCGACCAGTTCCTGCAGCTGGCGGATTACGACTGGATGTCTGCGGCGCAGAGCAGCGGCGGTCTGACCACCAGCGACTACCTGATCGACCTCATCACGTTTCTGAGGAGCACGTTCAGCGTCTTCACCAACCTGCCGGTTAGCGCACACACACACACACATGCAGTTGGAGTCCATCTAAGTTTCAGTACTGTAATACTGAGAAGAAGATGCATTTCTGCAGCAACTTAGGATTTGTCTTTGGGACAAGAAGAATATCCTGCTGTTTGGTTTGAAAGCGCCTCATCGTGTCAGAGGGCTGCACAATCTGCTTTACTTCGTTAGTGTGGTCTTGTTGCAGATCAGATCGTTAACGTGGCCTTCGCTAAGATCGTTAAAGGGTGAGCGGGTCGGGTCAGCAGGCCCGGATTATCCGCAGGCTCAGGCCATTGACACTAAAGCCCCAGCGGGAATCGCCTTACGCTCAGTCAGGATGCCGCAGTGCAACGCTTACGGCTTGCAGAGCGTGTTTCACAGGGCAGCCAGAAAATCGCTAAATCCTATTAATTCAGAATGCCTAAAAGCTTATTAAGGTGCCCAAATGCAACAATGCCTTTAAATAAAAACAACATCGCTGTAAATGTGTTGTTTTAAAGATCTTTTGTGAGCTGCTTGTGACTTCAACTGGGAACACAGTTGATTAGTTTTTACAGTTATTTACACTTTTAATTAAATGTAGGGATTTGTGATGTATCTGCATTAACATTGTATTGGCTGATGTTTTATTTTTTATGTATTTTCCAGTCAAATAGTGCTACTTTGTAGCACAATGAAGCTACTTTCAGATGTAATAAAAAGTTACATAAATGACACGACTTAAAAGAAATGTAACACCTCAAAATTGGGCCTCTGTCTCTTTAAGAAATGTCTGTGCTGTCCAATCTGCTGCCTTCAGGACTTCATCACAGTTTCTCCATGTTAAAAACCAGGTTTTTACCAGCGTTGAGCTGAGAAGTAGCTGCTATAATGAGCTCAGTTCCACCAGAGGTTTGCTAATTGCTGCTGGCTAGTCTGAAGGAGCTGAGTGGGTATGTTTGTGGTGGGGGAATAATATTATAGCTATCATCATTTTTCTCTTTTCCCTCTCTCTTTCTGACAAAAATTGGATGACAAAAGTCTTCAGTCTGGTGCTTTGGTCTCAGCTAAACCTATTTTTTGAAGAACATTTTAACTTACATAATCCACCGTATTTGTCGCTTCTGTTTTATTTATTTGAGATAGTTAAAATGTCTTCCAATCTTTTTGTTAAATATTCATTAGAATGTGAAGTTTATTGATCTTTGAAGATGTGTTCTTTCATCATTATGCCATTATTACTACCATATATATAATAAATGTCCATCATGGGTGGTTAACTGAATATTTACCTCCAGTTTTTTTCCACAGGCTCACTTCTGTTTCTAATCCATAAGAGAGGAGGTGCAAAAACCTTTTAAGCTTGCCACTAGAAAGAAAGTGTAAACATTTCCTTGCTATTGTAATATATCAGAACCTTCCAATGATCTTGTATATTTATGGTCTTTTCGGTCTTAAATTTCATTCAAGGTGGAATGAAAGCAGAGCTTTAAAAAGTCTTAAATTTGGAGGGATGTGCATAAGACTGACATGACGGTCATAAACATGACAACACCTGTCTTCAACAGGAAGGAGTCTTCATGAATGTTTGACTGTTGACATGATTAATGACACTTTTAATGCAAAGTTGTGCCAGAAGAAGTTTTAAACTAACAGGCGGTCATGACATTCACGAAGACTCCGTCAGTTTGACCCGCTGAAACCTGCAGCAACATGCATCCTTTGATCAAACAGTCAAACACCAATATTAATATCAGAAATCAATATAAACTTTCACATTAGTGCATCTAAAATTAAATGGCTTCAAAAACCTACAAGCTTGTTTTTTATCTGCAGTTTGATCAAACAAAAGTTGGAGAATTATTTCCCCGCAGTCGGACACCCACAGACCATTTCTCCCCGTCTGTTTTGATCAAAGGTCACGAACAGATTCATATGATGCAAACACACGGCGAGATCAGCTTTAAGGTGATTAGGCGCCCAGATTTGGACCAGCCGGGTCACAAGGCCACACACAGGCCACACACACTGCTAAGTGTTTCGCAGCACATCTAATCAGCTTTTCCTTCACACCCTCCCACAGACCCGGACGTGACCCCATCACACATGCTTCAACGCGGACTCAAACGCGGCGTGCGGCCTCTTAAGTAGATCAGACGCTATGGATCTAAACGCTGGGTGGTATGACCCCGCTCAGATAAAGGCTGGCGGTGGGAAACAGGCGAGTTATGAGGGAACGAAGCAGATAAGAGCTGCAGGAATACATTATTTTAATTGTTTTGAGGCTAATCCACACTCACCTGACACTTTGTTAGGTACAGCATTTCAATCACTAGCTCACAAGTTGCAACCCAACCAGTCATATGGTGCATTTTAGTCAGTTTTATTTCTATAGAACATTTCAGTAACAAGGAGAGATTCACATCATAAAATAAAAAGTAATAAAAACAGCATACAAAAACAAACATTACATTTTATTTCTTCAGTACATTTCAGCAACAGAGTTCAAAAGCAGAAGGTTTTTCATCTTCATTTAAAGAAACTCAGTGTTTCGGCTGTTTTTCAGGGGTTTTTAAGTTTATTCCAGATTTGAGGTTCATATTTTTGTTATTTGATAAAATTACAATTTTGCTGAGGGAAAATCTGAAAGGGATTAATACACCTGCTGGGTTTTTAGCCTTGATTTAGAGAACTCAGTGTTTCAGCTGTTTTGCAGTTTTCTGGCAGGTTGTTCCAGATTTGTGGTGCACAGAAGCTGAATGCTGCTTCTCCATGTTTGGATCGGAGGATGTAGAGCTTTACACCATAAAAACATAATACAGTAACTAATTATGAAACAAGCAATGAACACCTTTCTTTGTAGTTACCCAGAATGCCTTGTACTGTAGTCCCCTTCCTGTTTTTGGAGCGTTTGTTGTTCACACATGCTTTCGAACTGTACCAGAGTTCAGTTCAACCAAACCAAGGCCGAGGTTTTCAGACGGTCCAGAGTTTGCATTTCTTTGTGTGGATTAGAGTTTGATTGAGCATTCACACCTCCGCTAATGAACCGAACTTTCTATGCATAGAGTTCAGTTAAAGTGGATTAAACATGGCTGGTGTGAATCCACTCTAACATTCTTTGAATCCCTTCTGTGTTTCCTGCAAAATGAAGCTGCTTGATGCCGGGTGTTTTTCCCTGGCGTCAGTTTATACTCACCTTGTTTACAGACGGAACTATATGTTAAAACGCACAAATTAGTGATTTATTGTCCAAATATTTCTATTCCTACCTCACCAAAATGACTAACTACTAGATACGCTACAATCGGTTTGGAGGAAAGAGGTTCTTGGGGCCAGTTTGTATTTAGTCTGTGGACGTCCTGCTGGAAGCGGCTCTGTGCCGAGATGAGGATCAGGTGTCTTCATCAGCTTTGGACGCTGTAAACACGCGCGTCTTCGCCGCCTCCGTGTCTCTGCAGACGTTATCCAGGAGCTAATGGCTTCACTCAGAGTTGGACTCCGCAGGATAGCGCTCATAATTTAGCCAGGCTCAAATTATCGGGAGGAATGAGGATGACGGGAAAAGGCCTCGGGGGGCGAAAGTGATCATGTAAGAATTAGGAGGGAATTTTGGACTCGAAAGCCTCCAAGTTTCAGGATCCAAAAGCTACTTGATCTGTTTTCTGTTGTGATCTGGTTGCTGTTTTTACTTTTTGTGGCGATGCTTCATCACGTCAGAGTGGCCGAGGCGATTTAGCTTAACCTCTACGGGCCTTGAGCGATGCTTTTGCTGCTCTAACTCCTCATTTTCCCAGTGAAGCAAAGGGATTTGGATGTTTCTCAGTGCAGGTAATGTCTGTATGTGTTTCTGACCGTAGGAAACGCCTGTAGAGCACGCCACCTTACCGGTGAGTATCGGCGTGCAGTGGCGTTTTCCGTACTGACCTGCTTAACCCTGCAGTTCAACAGCAAGCATGTGAGAAGGGAACGCAGCGACGCACGTTTGACTTTGACGTGGTTGAACGTTTTCTCTCTGCTGCAGAAAGAAAGGAATAACTGCTCACCTGCTCATGGTGTGTGTTTGTCAGGTTAATTAACTGGATTTATGCTTAATTAACGCATTTGCTTCAATTCCATGTACACGTGTATCAATATACTAGAAATAACTGAAAGTTAATTGAATTCAGACTTAATAACAGACTTCTAACACGCAGTGATGATATCTGAGGGTTTATCTCTGCAGTGTGGAGTGAAAACTGGATATAAAACAGGAAATATTTCAGACATTCAAAACAAAAAACTAGTCAACAATTATCTATCGAATAATTATATGATCTGAAATGCGTTTATCGTAATAGGTTTTCAGCCATCTTGAGCTTAACATTTTAACAGTTTTTTTTTTTTACATTTTTTTATTTTACTTTTGAGTTTTATTTGGCTTTAAGACGTAAACATCAAAATAATCTCTTGAAATTTAGCATACTTTGTGGAGTTACTGACTTTTTTTAGTAGTTTCAACCTTTTCAGTTGAGTTACTGAAAAGTAAGCTTTTTAGTAATATTTTAATTCTAATTTCTGGATTAAATGAAGTCAGAAAAACCGAAATGAAACGATTCATGTGAAGACATTCCCACCCCTTGGCATTGGGGAAGTGAAAATGTTTGCTCACGTTCTGTCTGTGTGTCTGGAGCAAATATTTTACTGGATATTGGGTGACATTAATGCAAAAATCAGCTACGGCTCTGCAACATTTAATCCTTTTACTGTCATTCTCATCGGTCAGTCGGTATTTGAGCCATAAAACACGTTGAGCTCCTGTAGCTGTTAGTTTTCATCCAGATTTGGGCTGAGATCGGGCCTGAACCTCCAGTATCACGCTGTCCCGCCTGGCCTTGAGTTACGCACCATGTCGAATCCCATCCTGGATCAGGGGAGCTGGTCCGCTGCCCCGACCTGTTTCTGTTATTAAAAGGCTGGAATGCAGGTCTGCGCCTCTCAGATGGGAAATTCACTTAGAGCTGAGTGACATTGGATTATATTATATTAAATTACACACGAGGTTCAGGTTGTTCTTTCTGATTTATCACTGGGATCTTTTTTCTTCCAGGTTATTGATTTAATCTGGTGCAAATCAAACGTACAGAAAAGATTAAAGGGAGTAAAGTCTCCTTTTATACATTACATTAAACTGAAACGTCATTGTTTTTAGTTTTCCAGATTGAAGCAGATTGTTTCATCAGACTACTGGCCTGGTTTCTACTTGTTCTTGTACATCTTTTCACTTTGTTGGATAAAATTATCGATTAATGAGTTGATCAGAAATTGACTACAGACGATCAGGCATCCATTTTCTTTAAAACCTGAGTTTTCTTTTGTGTTAAAGAGGACTGTCTGTCCACAGCATGAAACATTTTTCATATTCTGAGTTTTAAAAACAAGAAGCATGTCATTATATTTTAACAATTTGTGTATCGATTGTATTAAATACAGACAGAATTAAACTTACAAACTTATATGAACCTCTGAGGTTGATGAATACAAAATAAAAGATGAAAAGAATAAAATGTGAAACAATGAACAGAGATGTTTTTGTTTTAATTGTTTGCTTTTCAGAGTTAATTTGCTTTCTGCTTTTAGTTTGGTTTATGTTTTCAAAGGCGATTCTGAAACTCGGTGTAGATTTAGGCGTTAAGGAAAGAAAATACTCCCATCAAAGTGAAACTGCACACAGAGCTAAAGTGGGCTTTGAGAGTTTCCTGCTTATCTCCGCCTTAATGGGGGGAAATTTCTAGAAAACTATAAAAGGTACAACCTATTTTTTGCTGGTTTTACTGAAATATGTTGGAAATTGTAACAACTGCTCAGTAAAAGTACTTCTGAATGCGCCACATTTAGCAGCAACACCCAAAATAACCAATGATAAAAGGATAAAAACATCTTTCTTTTTTTATCAAAGATTTGAAAGCATATAACTAAACAAAAGCACCATTAGGTTGAATTCAAATCAAGCTTGTTTGTACATATGTAGTTTAATCAGGCATCCAGTCTCTAGGGCAGTTTATAATGTTTACAGTTTTCATTTTTAACTGCATGATATTTATATTTATTTTGAGACCCTACACATAGAGTAATGTGAAACAGTTTGACAAAAAAAAAAAAAAATAGCCAAGAACTCAGCCTGAATGTTTACAGAAGAGTGTAAGTTTTATATTGAGCATGATAAACTTGAGTTCATAAAGTGAAAATGTATTATATTTTGAGGAGAAAGTTGGAGGAAATACCGTCTGAAGCTTTAAGACTTAGGAAACCGGCACCCTATGGAAGAACTTATAAGCTCTCATTCTTCACTATACATACCCATGTGTTTATAAAACATGTTAACTAAAACACTAAAATTCTGGCAGCATTTCAGATCAATTGAATTATGATATTTGAAATTTGTCAGTCATTAACATCATGCTACTGGTTAACACTCAGTCGCATCTTGTCACAGTAAAGCGTGCAGAACGATCAAATATCGGCCTTCTTTCACTCTTCATTACATGAGATAAAACTGCGACAAAGACTCGAGTCTCAGGCCACAAGTCGAGGCTTTTGGGCGCAATCAAAAGTCAAGTATGAAGGCAATTATTTTTGTGACTAATTTAATTTTGAGACTCCAACTTGAGCTGCTTTCTCCTTCGTGAAAGACTTGAGCTGCTTTATAAAGAGAAAAACTAAGTCAGTTTGATTGTTCACTCTTAATGGAGTATTTGTTCTATAACCAGCTCTTTTCTGCTGTAGGACTATTTATATGCCAAGTCTTTGATTTTAAAGTCTACCTAGACAATGTGAAGTAGTGAAACTGCCATTTTTAATAGAAGTGGTCAAAGTGGACTCACGCTTCGTGACCAGCAGTAACCTGAGACACTTCACCAGTAAAATGTTGCTTTTCTTCACTCTGTTCAGGAACAATTGGCAGTTTTTATATGTTATTCATTTATATGTTAGATTAAGCCTCGGTTTGGTTGAAGTGAACTGCAATGTGAACGGTAAGTGGGCAGGAGGAATTCTGGGAAAATACCACCAAAACAAAACTCGCGGTAAAAACGGCTCGTTGTCTTTTACCAAAGACAAACCGTTCACATCTGACACCTCTCCGTTCTTCGTTTACAAGTTGTGCAGAAGGAAGTTGTGCTCAGTCTCTTCTTTGAAAGTTTCAGTGCCGTTTCCTGCGGTGGTAATCGGTGCTGTGCCACCGCAGGCAATCGGGGGAACAGCACCAAATGAAAATGTAACAAATGTTGTGGTTTTGGTCCCGAATCGAACCGGGTCTACTGGACTACCAGGTGTGAAAAAACTCTTATCATGCCTGGTTTCCAGTGATGGCTTCATACCGCTTCTCCTTTCCCTCCTTTCTCTCTTCTCCATTTATTTCTTTTCTCTTCCCTTTTTTCTTATTTCTCTTTCTTCCTTTTACCACCTTATTTCCCACTCTCCTCTCCTCCCTAATAGTTGCCAGTCGTTGGTTCTGAGGCGACGCTGTTTGTGTCAGACAGACGTGTTTCTGTGCTCTTGTGTTTCTGCGGCCCGTCCAGGTCCAGGTCCAGGCCGTGTAAACAGAATTAGCTCATTTCACGCTCCATCTCCCCCTGTGATAACTGACCTCTGGGACCGAGCGGAGTGTGTGTGGAGTGTGTGTTGGGAGTTCAGAGGCCGCCGTCGGATTGGAGGATATCCGGCCGGTCGTACGTCTGTGTTTCCCAAGCATATGTGCGGCGCACGTGTTCGCCGTGTGTTGGGTCTGAGGTGGAAGCTGGACTCAACCGGGTCCAGGCACTTTCCCGAGGTGGATCTCAGTTCATGAACAACGCGATCTGAGTTATACGAGACAAAATGGATTTAAAGAATCTGCAAGCTGGAAAACTGCAGTTTTTAAAAACGGTACAATCAGAGCCAAAGAAATGTGCAGCTGAGTAGGGCTATTTAAAGAGGCATTATTTTATAAAATTGACTTTGTCATCATGTTATTCCCTCATCAAAAACAGAGTTTTTTGCTTAAAAGCAATTTTCTTACTTTCCTTTTATTAAAGGATCAAAAACAAACCTCACATTCACAAAATCACAAAGAGCCAAAGTCCCTCAGTTACAAACGACTCCTATGAGTTATATAAAGATTTTTAGTAAGAGCAAATGAACGCTAAACATTTGTCTGCTGATGATCCAACCTGATCCAGTTCAGCTGGAACGACAGAGAGTGACCCAGTGTCTCTTCAGGTTAAAACAGCTGATGTGTCCATCTGATTGGCTGTGTCCAGCATGATTAATGAAGGTAATTAAACGCAGGCCGTGAATGAGAGGCCTGACGTTTGTTTCTTATTAATCACCTGGAAGCATATTGCTCTGTGTCCGTTTGTGTAATCCAGACACATCAAAGTCTCGTCAGGACTCATTTGTGTAATGAGCCTGTTCTGTACAAACACGCACTTCCCCTCTCTGCCATTCGTGATGGCGGGAAGGTTAATTTTTTGCTCGCGACGCAGCATCTCGTCAAATCTGTGTTAATGGATTAAAGGAAGAGGAAATGAAGTCTAATGAAAATCGTCTTTTAATGATTAAGAGAAAAGAAAACACGTTTCATCGCAGATTTCCTCCGCTTGACTCTTGACTTTTCTGGCGGTTCTCGGGCCAGCCTCCGTCCGTTCGTCCATCTTTGATCCGCTTGCTTCATCGGGCTGGAATGCAGACATGGAGGTCGGGACGGAGGCCACAGCTAATCGCAGACATTACACTGTCCGCTCAGACACCGACACATGTTTTGTTTTTTTTTTTTGTTTTTTAATTAATGCGTTGTCATGTACTTCCTCATCCGCTGCTGTAGTTCTTGTTATGCTACTTTATCATCCTGACTGCACCTGAGCCCACGGTTCGTTAGGGGACACTGGTGGAGTCGCTGGTCTCCTTACATTTAGAAAAGCCATTTATTTGTTTTAATAAGCATCATTTTTGATTATTTATGTGCATTAACATTCAGTTCTAGGTGAGATTTGTCCATTTCACACAGAAAGCGACCAACTTTCCAACCGCAGGTTTGTGTTTGCAGCCGAGGGACGAACAAAGGATCAGCTTGAACAGCCGGTAACGTTCCTCCTCCCTTTGCCTCTCTGTGCGTTTCAGGGGAAAGTCGCCCAGACGGCCTGCATGTCGGCCTGCAAGCACATCTCCACCTCCCTGATGCAGCTGCTGCTCGACCCAGAGGTCCGGCAGATCTCCATCGGGGCTCTGCACCAGCTCAACGTCGACCTCAAGGAGTGCGAGAGTGAGTCCTCCTTTTTTTTTTTATAGCTTTGTTGTTGCTGGATATTAATGATGTTGCTGTAAACCAACAATACCAGGATAATGTTTTTATTATTCCTGCGTCATTTGAGTAGATAAAAATACATTTTTGGAAATGATTTTACCATTTAAGACCAACTGGTGCAATAAATACACCATCACTAAAGCATCAGGCATGAATGTAAGTTTGAATCAGAGTCGACACAAAGCCAATTAAAGCTGTTGCCTTGGTTTTCTTAAACCAGGGTTTCTCAAAGTAGGGGTCGGGGCCCCCAGGGGGGTCACAAGAAACCAAGCTGGGGGTGAGAAAATAGTGATGTGAAACCTGAGCTGTATGTAAGGTCAAAATTAAATAAATATATAAACATAGGATTAAATGTCTCATTAAATAATGTCATATACTTCTAATGCATTTTAATAAAATAAATCAATTTAAAATTCCTGTAATTATTATTACATGTATCTATTACATGTATGTTGAACTTATTGATTTTAATTATTCCAACATTTATTTAATCAAACATTTAAGCAATATATTTAATAAATTACTTCTTTAACAAATTGATTTTTTTCTGTTTGCTGAATTTATTAAAGTTTTATTTCAACATAAATATTTTTCCTAAAAATCTCTGTTGTATTTTTAGTCATAGTCTCACAAAATTTCTTTTTGTAATTTGGAAAATAGACCAAACCAACATTAAAATGAATCTTAATCTGTTAAAATGCCGTGTTGATGTTTTCAGATGTGTTGTATGTATTTTATCTCCCCTTTGCCGCCATTTTCCTTTTCTTTCCTCTTCTTCCTTCACAAACTACACCAGCTAATTATCCGCATCCATTCCTGAAGTTAAAAGTAATATTATTAAATATTGTCTGTTTGCGTTTGAGAGCCCAGGGGGCGCTGTGGAACAGCCAAATAAAGGTTTAGAGGAGCGCATCGTCTTCCTCCTCCTCCCGTCTCTCTGATCTGTGAGACTTTCTGGACGCAGACGGGTTTTTTGCAGATAAAGGATTTGGAGAGTTGAAAGAGCGCGAGGCGTCGTTGGCTCGGTTTGTACATGATCAAGGTTCTTAGAGTCACAGAGCGGGTCACACTGCGCGTTTGTGACCTGATGTGAAGTGACATGCGTGCAGAGCTGCAGATTTGGTTTTCTGAAGCAAACTGGAGGACGTTGGGCTGGCGGTACAGTAGAGGGTCAAAATGAGAAGCAAAAATTCAAAAAAGAAAGAGCTAAAAAGTGAAAAGATGGAGCGAAATGTTAAGATATTACCTCCGTTATTTAAAAAAGAAAAAGAAGAAAATTAAAGACCTGAAAGCTTTAAGGGTTTAAAAGAATGTCTGGTGTAGATTTGGTTGAAAGAGTTTTGGACAAAAGGGGGAAAAAAATGGGATTAAATGAGGGAGGTGTGACTTTAATGAAACGAAAAGAAAGAGAGGCTGGAAAAAAGCTAAACAGACGACTGAGAATGGAAATTAAATGTACGTCCACAAAGGGAAGGAAATGAGAAGTTCAAAAAAGGGATTAAAGATCAAATTAATGAGAGAATCTCCGGCTTGTGACGGGTGGGAAGAAATGGAGGCATGGCTGGAAGAGGAAGAACAGAAAAAATTAAATAAATTTAACTGGATTTAAGAGAAAATATGACAAAAAAGGGGGAAAAATACAGGAAAAAATGTGGGAAGCTGTCCTGTTTAACAGCCATTATATTGAATACCTATAAAAGTATTCGACCCTACCAAAAACAAAATAAAAACTACACAACAGAAACCACACATACAATGGATAATGAAGTCTCTGTAAACAAAATTGTCTTTCAAAGAAAATTAATTATGAGAATAATCAAGATATTAAGCTTAAGCCAATAAATCAGTTAATCGCATAAATCAAGCTCAATAATTTCCTTTTTCATGTCATTGGTCTCAATTTGCCCCTTTTTTGAAGGACAATTTTGTTTACAGAGACTTCTGCATCCATTTTATTTGCTGTTTCTGTTGTTTATTTTAGATATTCAAATTGTCTTCCAGTGTTAAATGCTCTGTTGATCTTTGAGAACGTATTATTGCATTATTAGGGCTGGACAATAAACCAATAACATCTATGGCAATAGAAATGTAATTAAAATAAATACATGGAATGCTCAGAATTCAATATGTGGAATATTCACTGAATTCGGATCTGGAACCGCACAGCATTCTGGGAGATGTAGGCAGAGGGAAGGCTGTAACTGCTCAACCTCTCATGGCTTCTAGCTAAACAAGGCTAGTGGTATCAACTAACTCTCTCACCCTTTGGTTGCCTAGCAACTTTCACATTCTGTGGTTGCCTGGCAACGACCTGTTAAGTAACTGCCGCATTAGCAGTTTAAAGTTCCGTCACTTTCCCTCACAACTGCTTTAAAAAAAAAACAAAGATACGGAGTGGTGTGATAACTGGATCAAACAGGAAAGGTCACACCACCAGCTTGGACGGATTTCAGATAAATAAAACAAAACTAATCAATAATTATCAATATCGACTGATATGAGAAGCTTATGTCCTGATGCATTTTTCAGCCATATCAGTCATAACATGGCTGTAACATTAATCTGTTTATAAAAACAAAAACATTAACGTTAAACTGTGTTAAGCCTTAAACATTAAAATAAACACTTGAATTAGTTTTTGTATCATGTAAATATCGTGATACCTTTTTTCAGCCATATTGTCCAGCCCCACTCTTGGGCGTTACCGTGGCGCCGGCGGCCATTGCAGACCCAAACGTTCCCCAGCTGATCGCAGACATGCTAACAAAGTGCTGCGTAAACAGAGCAAACACACGCAGGTGAAATCAATCTGCCAGTGTTATTGCCCCCGTTTTGTTTACATCCACACACTTTCTCACACACTCGTTCTGTCTTTCAGCCAGCGACATGACTCTAGCACCCCCCACCCCCCCCCCCTTTCCCCC